TCTCTGGGTCTTGATTTCGTGATAAGTCATGAAATCCGTCCCTTTTTTCAATGTTTATTCATACTGTATTATAATACCTGGCCGGTGTGCTTTCGACAGATCATGGCCCTTCTGCATATCCGCACTCGCTGAGCATTTCCATTTTTTTATTTTGGCTAGACTCTGGAATGTCTAAACCATCACGCTCTTTATCTTTTCATTTTTCCCCCAGTGCTTTTTGCTCTGTTGATTGGGACTGTGTCAAGAGTCACCTGCGTAAATACACATGTACTATTCAAATCCAATGAACCGAGATCATGGGATAACCATGAACCACTTTAGAAACATCTCAAAGCTAATATTGCTATTCTAATTTCATGAATCCAGCTGCGACATTACATTCCATAGTTCTGAATCTGCCCACTCTAACGAGGGCTGAGTATCGAACAGATCCCACACAAAACTGTCATCCCATCCCTCCACAGACAATGGTGCAGTAGGACCTCCAGTGGAATCTGTACCCCCAAGACTGACCAAAGCCTGATCGGTATCGGCAGAACGGTCAAGTATATCTGTGTAGGATGCTGTCTGGCCCTCGGTGTTTCCAACCGTGTTCGCATCAGAGAATGCAACTGCTGGCTGTTCTGAACGGGAAGATTTAGGATTTCCTTCCACCAAAGGTGCACATAAGTCTAGGAATTTGGAGAATAGCTTGTACAGTTTACCAATTGAGACATTTGCCTCTGCGAATTGGCGTAGGTTGTCAGTGATGTTTTTGATCATGTTGAAGTCTCTCTCGTTTGATGTTGCGATCACATTGCAAAACAGGACAAAAAATGGTGCTAACGGGAATAGCAGCATTGTCCTATTGAAGGGTCATTAGTTTTCACTGTGCAAGGTAGTAAAGGATGGCTTTGGGATGGCCATATCATACCAGGTAAGAAAGTGTGGATATGAGTCAATGGAATTGGTGTGGCTTGAGAATGTTTCCTGTAAAGCTCGGAGAGTGGTGAGAGCTTTCCGGGCTGTGTATAGACAGTTCTCGCAAACCAAGCGGGACTTGAGTACCGAAGAGCGGGCTTGGATGATTGTTGTGAGAACAGAGTAGTAGTTGAAGTCCATTGATGGCCATTCGCGCAGAATTTGGTGCCATAGATCTGGGGATTGCTCTTCTTGGCGACGACGAAACTGAAAATTGGATTAGCGGTTGTTTGCTGGCGGATGCTCGATCTCTCTTACCATTTGCAAACTGGAGTGGATTATGTGTGCTCGCGCCACAAGATCAGACAGTATATTGGCCTTTTCCGTGTCTCTTATTGTCTTCTTTGTATCAAGCAAGACGTTGAGTAGATCACTTTTTAACTCTGCAAACTCGACTACGCCTTTTATCATGGCAGACGTTGGCAGATCAGGGTCAAGGTGAATTAACTGGGTTGGTCTAACTTTCAAATCCGGTAGAGACGGTGGTCGGAGGAGCAGCAGGCTGAGGGTTTTGTCAAAGCAATAGCATGTGTACACACAGCTATGAATGTTTTTCTCTATCTCATTTCGAGGACTGGGATCTGTGATGTTGTGGTAGTTTAAAGAAACGATCATCGTTGAGGCTTGTGATGTCAACATCCAGCTGCGTGTCATGTTTCCTAAATACCGCATCAAACGGGCCTACTGCGGGTCAGAAATAAGTTGATATGTATGGAGGCACGCGAAAAAGACAAAAGGAACACACCGCAGACAGAATGGATTGAATTAAAAGAAGGCTAGGTTCAGCTGCCAGCGGAATTTGATTCAAATTTTCGACGGCAGCGGCTTCATATCTCTTTTTGAGTGACCGAAAATGATCCTCCAAAGGTTCGCTCGTGAGCAGAGGTGCCATTTTTGATATAAAACTTATGGCCTTTACCCAGACATTGATCCGATAATGCTGGAGCACTTGCTCACACTCTGTGCCCTCGATAATTGCGAGCCCCATTTGCTCTAGAACTTTGTTGGAGATGTGATCAGGCCAGTTGATTGTTCCCTGTGAGTTTGTTCTCTTATCGGGTCCTAGGTATACAATCAGCATGGCTCACATCTGCCCGATTGTTGGTAACTTACCAGGTAGCATCATGAAGAGCAATTCTGGTGTGAGAGTAGGGGGTTCTAAGTTTTCTTGAACATCCATATCATGTATAGCCGCAGTCTCCTCGAAATTTAACGTCGGATTGGACAGCTGACTGACAAACTTGCGCGCCGATTCAAGTGCAGTTCGTCTATCTTTTGATAGAGCCGGGTTGCATTTGAGTTCATGCTCAATGTATTCTCTAGCCTCACAAGCATGATGTGTTGAGCTAGGAGAATGTGTCTGGTGAAGATTTTGTTGCGCCACAGTCTGAGACTTACGGTGCTTGCTTAGTGGTGGCTGCAGGGGAGCTGTATCATGGAGGTCATATGCTCGATATCGCTTCTGCTTATCATTAGGCACTTCCGTAATACTTGCCCGGTTAGCCGAAGGCGACGAAGAGGTGCTGCTAGGGCCGTGATGCCTTGTTGGAAAGTATGTTGCCTCTTTATTGGTTGCATCTTTATTGGTTGCATCTTTATTGGTTGCTTCTTCTAATTTCGCTAATCTTTGGGTCAATGTTTCCAATCTTGGAAATGTCAGCTGTTGATTCTGAAGACGTGCAATGTGAACTGCACGTACCGAGAGACCCGAGGTCTATGAACTCGTGCCTGGCGGCTGCGAAGACATTCTGTGCCTGCGTCGGTGCAGTTCATGCAAGGATCCTGGCGATCGCATTTCACCTACAACGACTCAGATGAGCTTCAGGGTATCAAACGATCGAATGCGAGAAACGAATGAAAGGTTATATATACCTTTCGAGTATGACATAAATCGCACTGGTAACATTAGTTGAGCTACATATTTCAGAAACAGCGTATGCCTTTTGCATTTCTGTTATCAGGAAAACTTACCGCAGACATGTTGGCTTCGGAATTTCGAACGGAATTTCGGAATCAAAGCAGATTCATCATGTACTTCAAGGGAAAAGTCAAAGTAGCCTTGGAGGAGCCTGGTTGAAGTCTTAGGTTGTCGGTGCCCGAACTGCCGGGAACCGACCGAAAGCGGTTTAGTGCGGAGCTTCATATAACTATACGAGGGCCTTTTTCTATTTGTATATAATAGGCTTGTTGAGTCATATTCCATGTACTAGTTGTGTTGAAGGTTCATACCGCAAACGTAATTCGTCAAGAGGGCTCTACATCTCGTTTTTAGTCCGTTGGTTGTTTTGGTCTCTACATTCTAATTTGTGCCGAGGGATTCGCCTGCTTTTGTGGCCTTTATACTTTTATCGTTGTATATCAGAAAACAATACTGGAAGTTAAAAAGTGGACATGAAGCAAGTGTAGTATCTCGACCCTTCATCTATCGTGATCACAGGCGGCGGGTAAATATTTGATACCTCCGTTTTATATACCACTCCCATTATATCTGAAGTCAAAGAGGCATCCATATACACTGTTACTATCTAGAATCTAGTATTATTAGCTTGGGTTGTCAGACGTGAGTTTGGAGATACAGCGGGATCCTGAGATGCTTAAGATTTGAAGTATTGGAAAGGTAGCTGAAGAAGCAGCCAGTTGATAGGAGCAATAGGCCAAAAAGCCTCAAAACCAATCATGAAAATAGTGTGTACATATTATCGTGCAAAGCCCCATACGATACGATTTCTGCGAAAGAGAAGTGCCGAGAAATAGTTAAGGTGTTCTATGTTGTCCTTCTCATCGGAGTAAGACGATGATAGGTAGATGGTGCTGGCGTTCTTAGAATCCTTAGAACCACGGCAGCATTATTTGACGGTATGGTGAGCATCACTGTGATGCTTTTCCTACAGGTAATTTAATAGCAGGAGCACCCTAGGTTGCTTTGGAATAGTGTATGTTACGGCAGAGTCAAGCTAAATTACTTGAGCAGAGTTTGGCCTACATCATAGCGCAGTCGATGAACAGGTCGATGATGAATGATGATATGTGTTGGAAGTAATACAGCTCTACCTCTACCGCTAGACCACACCAAAACATCTGCTAATGTCTTAGAGAGGCTATCATCTTACCTCAGCATAATCTGGAAGCACTCGTCTTGATTGACATTTTTGTTTATGCTCATTCGACCTCCTAGGGTCCTGTTTACTTTAGTCCTCGTTGCAAGCTTTGCCATGGGGCCAGTATTGGTTGCCTATGTATCCTTCGAGTCGCTTTTTATCCGTCTCGAGAACAAATTCGAAGCGAAGCCCCTACGATCATCCGGAAGAGCAATTAGATGGTGGAGATACGCCCAAATACTTCGGATTATAGGAGAACATATCACGCAGGATAAAAGATGTCCAGACTATGTCCTATGGGTCCAGAATATGATTGATCTTGACATACGCCTACGCGAGATTGTCTAACGCGAAGGCCACTTGATCGACCAATGCGAAAAGGCTGACAAGCTACTTGATAATCCAAAGAAACGACAGTAACCAATTAGATGAGTGGCATGCAGGGCTGCGAGATCTCGCGCAGAGTTACTGGAACGTGGAGCGGATGCTGTGCGCCAATGATATAAATTGTCCCGTCGGTCCTTCCTAGCGGGGATATCTTTCCCTTTGGAAATTCCCACAATGGTACCTTACTCCCTAGTTAATTGAAGACTGCGCACGAAGAGGCGGCTGCTATGGTCGAGAGTGCGGATGTTGTTCGAAGCCACGGAGCTCCTTCCGTTCTAAGGGCCCTGGACATTGTACAAAAACGTGCGGTTTCCGCCTCCAGGCTCGGGGCTTTCCTTTATATGAGGAACAAGAGAAGATGTGCTAGCCTACCGTCGACGTCAAGCGAGGATTGGCTGCGTTTGATGGATGTGATCGATATATGTTAGGGGCTTACACCTTTGGCTTGGTCATGCCTCGAAAACGCATATTTCCAATCTTAGAATGATGGTTAGTTTGCGCATGTTCTTAGGTTGTGTTCCAGTCGGATTTACCTTACTACCATAGACTTGCTATTCATTCATCATAACAATCATAACAATATTCACATTCCAATTTCACAACGGACCCGTGGAGAACGTGCACTTCTGAATCCTCAACGGTATGCGGAATAGCCCCTCGTTCGTCCATCTCATTTCGGGCCGCTTGGAACCATACAAGGTTAAGCTTTGGCTCGAGGAGTGTTTCTTCGCCATGATCACTGAAAGACGCCATGTACTCATCCAAATCCTGTCGCATCGCCCACAGAAACTCTTTTCTATGAGACCACGTAGAATCATGCTCGCCCTTTTGTTTTATTTGGTTATCCTTCGCAATGGAGACAAAGAAGCTGAGGATTCTCTCCATGGTTGAAGTGGTGAGAAGGAGACTAAACCAGCTTTCGGCGGTGGAATGGGGAATTTCCGGCCCCATCAAGCGCTGGACAGTCGAAAATAGAAGCTGCATGCAGTGGTGGGTCGACAGAAATATAAATGTATCGTCAAAAGGTGTATTTTGGAGAATTGATTGTTGTCGTTTAATAGAACGAGCCATATTTTCGCGGTGATGACCTGAGTGGTCAGAGTCAGAGTCAGAAGATACAGATGATTCCAAGAAGAATACCGCGTAGGCTCTATATTCAAGTTAGTATGTTTTTTTTTTAAAAAAAAAGAATCAACGTAATGGGGCCATACATCGGATACAAAAGCTTGGCTTGGAGCGAAGCCACAGCTTTGCTGTAGACAACTTCTTTCTCTGTCTTGGAAGATGACCACAAAGGCCGAGCAATTGTATCAGTCTCCAAATGGTGTTCAACAACATGAGCAGCTAAGTGATGGGAGAGTCGAATGCAAGTATTCCAGCATCGTTTTAAATCGCCGAGATATCCCAGAGAATATTCCGCGTTGTCATGAGGCATGTCTGTGCTATACTCAGGAGGTGGGGGAGGAAATAGCTCGGAGATGAAGGCAATGTCATCACCCGGCGACAGGTCTCCGTCAATACAATGCCTTTGGTGATACATCTGCTTTCGGAGTTGAATATATGCCCATGCTATGGCATATTCCAGCTTGAAAACCCGGTCATGGAGTGCTCGACAGGAAAGAGACAAAGAACCAATATCCTCCAGATCACAAGAGGCTAGAATTTTAACAAAGACATGAGATGGGAGTCGCTTCCACGATGAAGCCTTTGGCCCAGCCACCATCGAGTCCCGTTTACCTTTCCGAAGGACTGTTCTGACTCGATTGAGAAAATGCATTATGACCCATACATTTGACAAATTATTCGAGATATCCTTTGGCATGTAATTTTGAAATCTTGTCTATGAAACGACCGGTACGGATGACAACCGGATCATAGAAATATGTCTGCCTAGACTGCAGAGGCACATCGATGGGACAAAATAGTGTATCGTAAAAACACAGTCGGGATACTTTGGACGAAAATGTGATATTTGAAGCATAGCAACCTGAAATCAAGCAATCGCAGTGGAGAATAGACAAGTCAGTCGAAACACATAATGTGAAACAACCGAGATTCGAGTGATGTCGGACTTGGTGCCTTATATTTAAGGCATCAAATTCCAACGGCCCCCGACATTTCCGATCCTCATATCCTTTGCTCTCCTCAATGCCACCAAATGTCAAATTTCTCAATTACATATACCAGTTCACTTATGCCTATCTGTGTGGTTTTCCAAAGAGTGTGCTGCAACGATGGCTAGTCTAAATGGCTCCTTGAATGGCGGGCGGGCAGCGAACTCGCCATCAAAACAACCCGCATCGTTTGCATGCGTGGTCTGTCACAACCGGAAGGTTAGATGCGATAGACAAGACCCCTCTGCCCCCTGTTCAAATTGTGCAAAGGCGAATGTGGAGTGCATCTACCGTGCCCCACCGCCGCCTCGTCGCAAAAGGGATCGAGAGACAAATGGAAGTGTATCTCAAGAACGCGGAAAATATGCTAGACGCAGCGCTGGGTTCGACGAAAATCCCCCCGCTATTCGGCATCATCACCCTGCTGAGAGAGATCGATGGACGGAAGCAGGGAAAAGCGGATCTGGGAGGATGATCATGAAAGATGGAAATTCCATCTATCTCGACAAGTGAGTTGTTTGCGCTGCATTTCGCCTAATGCCAGAATTCTGACTTGTACATTAGTAATCTTTGGACGAGTGTCAGCAATGAGGTTAGTATTTTCTGACTTCTGTATGCTATCAATCCTGACCCTCTTTGCTAGCTCCCAAATGCTGCAGACGTATTGGGCGATGGATCGGATGATGGTATCGATAACTTTGCTCAGGATGTGAGCGACGAGTATGTGATACTCTCGACATTCGCAACAAGAGACAATCTTACGGAGCTCCACCCGAGCCCCCTGAATATCTTCAAGTTATGGCAGGCATTTCTCAAGAATGTGAACCCGCTGACCAAAATTATACATGCTCCAACTGTGCAACAACAAATTCTAGACGCCATGAGTGATCTGGGAAAAGTAAGCCGAGAAATCGAAGCATTGATGTTTGCAATATATTGCATAGCATTGGTTTCCTTGCAAGCAGAAGATGTCGAAAGGTCATTTGGAGAAAGCAAGAAAGCCCTACTATCAAGGTGCAGACGAGGAGTCCAACTCGCTTTCAAGAATGCGTCGCTTCTCCGTACATCAAGCTCAGTGGTCCTTCAAGCGTTTATGCTCTACCTAGTGCGTTCGCCTGCCTTCGATGAGATCTACCCCCCTTTAACTATTTTTCGATAGCTCTGTATGCGTTCGTTCTCTGACCCACATACTATCTGGACATTATGTGGTATTGCAGTAAGAATTGCGCAACGAATTGGTATTCACCGTGACGGGTCCGCACACGGACTTTCAGTATTTGAAACTGAGATGCGCCGTCGCATCTGGTTCCAGCTTATGATCATAGATGCCACATCTGCACAGTTCTGTGGTGTAGCATCAACACCACTCCCAGCCACAATTGATGTTCAACCGCCAATGAACGCAAATGATAGCGACCTTGATCCTTGCATGACAGAGCCAGCCTACGAGAAGCCAGGACCGACAGAAATGATGTTTGTTCTGGCTCGGAGTGCATTTGGAAAATGGCTCCTTCGTGTGTCAAAACAGGTTGAGAGTTCTAATACTGGGCCATGGGCCTTCTTATCATCGTCATCGATGTCCTTGAAGGACAAGGACAAGACTATTGATGAACTTGAAGCACACCTGGAAGATAGGTTCCTCCGGCACTGCGATAAATCCATCCCGCTGCATATGGCAACGACAATGATGGCGCGTTCCGCTATATACTACACCCGGCTGATGGCACACCATCCTCGTCAATACCAGGATCCTAATACTCGCCTCTCCCAAGCAGAGAAAAACGTCATCTTCGAGAATTCTCTCAAGATGACAGAGTATGCTGACTACGCCCAAAGCAATCCAGTTGTACGGAAATACTCGTGGCACATGGTGAATCACATGCCGTGGGACGCCATAATATTCATGCTCTCGGAAATGAGGCACCGGACTGATTCCAAAGAGAAGAGCAAAGTCTGGCAATTGATTGGAAATGTGTATTCCGAGCATATCAAGACAATGAGCAAGAATGGTCCGACGCCTCTTCACATGGCCATTCAAAATTTAATTGTCAAGGCCTGGCGGACTTACATTGAAGAGTGTAACCTCAATCACCGCACACCAACGCCTTGTCCGACTATCGTTGCATCTTTGTTAGCGAGTGCGGGAGGAATTTCTAGCACGCAACAGGAAGATGAAAACTTCCTATCTGGTGAGCATGGTGCTGGGATACAAAATCAACACGGGCACGACCGTTCTAGTTCACAATTCGGACTGGAGGCCGAAAACTTCGGTTTCCTGCTTGGTGATAGCCCGCAGGATTGGAATGAATGGGACAATCTTCTGAGTACCTTTCAAGGATCTTTTACAGATGATGCAACATACTTGTCGTGACCTGAGCATGATTTTCGATGCTGTTGCTCAAAATCCGCTCGCCCACCCTTTGTAGCAAATCAAGGGGTCTGATAGCAACTATCATGTTCGAAATCCACTATACCTCAGCATTTTTGGAGAGCCTCGCGCTGATCGGCCCGCGATGCTCCGATGCCGTTTACAATCCTCGGGATCGGCAACTAAACGGCCGAGCAGTGATGATCAGTATTCCAAGGTTTTTTTGTGGCGAGTTTCTATACTGAGCGATGATACCATAGTGATTAACATTATTTCGGAGTACGCTTCTATACTGAGCGATGGTACCTGCATAGTCAATGATTTATTTAAAGTTAGTTCCGTTCGGTGCTGATTTTGGATATGACCACTTCCTACCATCGTCTTTTGATCACGATATTCTTCCCTTGATACATTAGTTCAACACATATACCCTGAATCTGAAGATCGTTCCAAGGATGAAACCCAAAACGGATGTTATTGTCGGCGCAGGCCCAACTGGCCTTGTCCTTGCTCTGTGGCTTCACCATCAAGGTGTCAATGTCCACATTTTGACCAGGCAGACGGTCCGGCCAAAAGTTCACGAGCTATATTTGTTCGTGCACGCATAGTGGAGCTGTATAGACAGCTTGGGTTGACCGAAGACTTGCTGGCACTCGGGTACAAGCTGCCAGCGTCAAATCTTTGGGTTGGGGAGGAGCACAAAGCACACATTCCGCTGCGAGACTTTGGGCTCGAGTTGACTCCGTACCCGTTCATGCTAAGTACACCGCAAGACGACCTCGAAAGAATGATCGAAAAGCGACTTAATGACGTCAGCATCCATGTCGCACGAGGGTCAAAGTTGCAAGGCTTTGTGGGCCACGGGTCAAGCATCACTGCTACCTTGTTCCGCGAAATTGACGAGAGCTCAACCACACATGAGGCGTCATACATAGTTGGGTGCGATGGAGCACATTCGGCTGTTCGCCGTGGGATTGGTGCCAAATTCGAGGGCGAAACATACATCTACATCGCCGACGTCGAAGGCAAAGGTGACGAGCACTTCAACCGCAAAGGGCACATGGTGTTCACGAACGACACTTTCACCCAGGTAGTGCCGTACAACGAAGCAGGCCATGCGCGATTGGTGAGTATTACGATCTTAGCTAACGACGACAATGGTAATCGTGAATTGCCAGAGCCTGAGCATTAGATCACATTCGATGATGTTAGACCCCAAATCACGCAAGTGATTTGATATCGACATCCCAAATGTCAACTGGTTCTCCACCTACCGCTGTCACCACCGTGTGGCCGACAAATTCCGCAGCAATCGCGCGTTCCTTGTTGGGGATGCGGCTCACATCCACAGCCCGGTTGGCGGGCAGGGCATGAACACCGGCATCATGGACTCGGTCAACTTGGCGTGGAAGCTAGCAACGGTCCTCAAACCGAACATGACCAAAGAAGCAAAATACCAACTGTTAGATTCATGAGTCTGAACGCCGTGCATTCGCCATGACGATAGTCCAGTCAACTGACATGGGTTTTACGATGTTTACATTGAAAGGATTATTCCCACACATTCTTCGGAACTAGCTGATTCCGTACCTTGTGCCACTGCTTTTGAGATTCGATTTTGCTCGGACCAAAATCTTCCGGGGCGCTTCTCAACTCATTTGCAATTACAGGGACAGTAGTCTTTCTCGTATTGGCGAAGGGACCGTGCAGCCTGACGACCGTCTTCCATGGGTTGAAATCAACGAGGTGGACAATTTTTCTACCTTGCGAGAAGTTTGTTGGCAGCTCCATATCTACGGGGAGTCTGTGCCGGAACTTGAAAAGTGGGCCCGGGAGATGAATGCGAAGGTTTTTACATTCGACTGGCACGATCAATACGGCAAAGTCGGCCTAGTCAAGAATGCCGTCTACTTGCTGCGACCTGATCAGTATATTGCGGGCATTTTCGAAGGCCCCTCTACTAAGGCGGGGTTGGACGAGTACTTCGCTACTCGGGGGTTTTGCCCACATGCAGGTAGGGATTAGGCTTGTTTCAAAATTTTACGCAGACCACTACTATCACCTTCTAATTTGGACACTCGTTATTCTACTCTTATTTAACCACGTGCATTGTCATATGTCGCGTTTTCCCGTCAATTTCCTGTTTGAGATGCGGAATGTAGCCGACTCAGAGTCCTCCAAGATTACTTCAAAGGATAGCGTGAACATGGGATATGGGAGCCACATGGTCTTCACACCCCTCGGCATGCGAAAGGAACGGAGCGTGATTGGTGACTTGGCACATATTAAAGCCCGTTGGCGGATGATTTGATTGGTGTACCTGTGGGGCTAACCATGGAAGCTCCAAAGTGGATTCGATGAGACCCCACCTATACTTCCACCTGGGCATGCCTTCCCAGGAATCTTCCAGAGGGCTTTGCATCCAATCTCTACAAGGGAATTTACAACTGGTGCTCTAAACATCGTCCGGTAACATCCGAACTATTCCAACTCCACTCACACCCACACGGCTTTCCCAAGACGTGCTCGCTTACCATCGATAGGTCGTTGATCGGCCGTTGAAAGCTCACAGGCTGAACATGTGGCAGGAACGGCCGCTTTTCATTTGCTATGGAGCCTGATTTCCGCCTGTAAATTCTCCCAATGCCATTATCTCTACTAATGCACATATCATGCATGTAGGAGAGATATAAAAGTCGTCCAACGACCGAGGAAATGATTTTCGTATTCACTTCAGTCCAATTCTCTCTACCACATCACCTGCAGGCACAATGAAGACCACTGCTCTCATTTCCTTGCTCGGTTTGTCCAGCAGCGCCCTGGGTGCGGCCGTGGAGAGGGGCAATGGAAACACGCCCTTTGGCTACAAGTCTGGCTCGAAGGAGTCTATTGCCAACCTGAAGGGCAAGATCGAGAATGTTGTCTGGGTTCTCTTGGAAAACCGTGGATTCGACAACATCCTGGGTGGTGTGAAGAAGAAGGGTTTGGACAACGTTGTCAACAATGGTCCTTTCTACAACCTGGAGGATATCACCAACCCTAAGAGCAAGAAGTGGTCCACCCAGTCTAAGAACTACGACTCGGTCCTCAATGACCCCGACCACACGCTCACTGGCACCAACTTCGAACTCTATGGTCAATATAACCCTAGCAATGAAGCCATTGCCAATGGTACTTTGACTCCCAACCTGTCGGGCTTTGTCAACCGCCAAATTCTTCAGCACCCCAAGATCTCTGCTGAGCGCGCAACTGACGAGGTCATGGGATACTACTCTGAGAGTCAAATCCCCACTATCGTTGACATAGTTGATGAGTTCACTACCTTCAACAACTGGCACTCCTGTGTCCCTGGTGTAAGTACCATCCGTGTTGCAAACCAGTCAAAGATATCAAACTGACCACCAAACAGCCCACCAACCCCAACCGTCTCTGCGCGGTCGCTGGTGTCACCGATGGTCACGGAAAGAATGACGAAGACTTCGATACCTCCGCCATCCCGACCACCAGCATCTTCGAGGCTGCCTCCGAGAAGGGAATCTCGTGGCTCAACTACGACGGCACCAACGGCGCCTTCCTTCCCGATTCCATGTTCTTCGACTGGACCGCCAAAAATGCCAAGAGCAACGTCGTCCCGCTCGAGAACTTCTACCAGGACGCCTACCTGGGCCTCCTCCCCCAGCTGTCCTACATTAACCCCTCCTGCTGTGGCCTGAACACCAACTCCATGCACCCCTCTGGCAATGTCTCCTTCGGTGAAGTCTTCCTGAAGCAGATCTACGATGCCGTCCGAACTGGCCCTCAATGGGAGAAGACCCTCTTCCTCGTCACCTTCGACGAGACCGGTGGATTCTTCGACCACGTCGCTCCCCCTCTTGCCGTCCGCACCGATAACAAGACCTACACCGAGACCGCGCATGATGGCAGCTCGTATACTTTTAGCTTCGACCGTCTCGGTGGTCGTATTCCTACTTGGTTGCTGTCTCCTTACGCCCCCAAGGGTCACGTTGAGGGCTACGGGACTGACCCCGTCACTGGCGAGTCTTCCGCGTACAGTGCTACCTCCGTACTGAAGACTCTCGGTTACTTGTGGGACCTGAAGGATCTGAGCCCTCGTGTCGAGCACTCACCCGCCTTTGATCACCTCATCGGGCCCAATACCCGCACTACCCCCGAGACTCTTAAGAACCCTCACACTTTCCCCGATGCCATTTGAGAGCCTGTTGTACAGGGTCACACTGGCTTGATGGGATATCTATTTGATGTGGTATAGATGAATGGTTGAATAGCTTGTTAATGGTTGTTAATTATCTTTTTCTTTCTATAGAGTCTATTTCTTTGTAGGGTGTTTCCTACTAGCCTTCGGCTTGTTTCAGTGAACCCAGTTGATTTGATGTCATGTTTGAAACGTTACCATTATGAAAATACTACTACAATTCCTTTTTCTGATCTCTTTTCAAGTGACTTATTAGATATCCTTGTATGTCTCTTGAAATGATCAGTCGTAGAGCACGGGAAACGCACAACTTGTAAAAAACAACCTTCCTAAATATAGGTTGTTACTATTTTGAGAGAAACTTCAGTAGGAACCAGCTCCAAGATTTTGTTCCGTCTTTTGATCATTTACAAATTGACTATCAAGTTGCACCCCAGAACTACTACTACAGCCTGCACCAGACCTCGGCATATCTCTTGGAGACAATACACCTGAGAATGGGAGTGTCGGATGTGCTCTAACCCAGATACCCCTTCTGTACCCCGAGTCCTTGGTATTTTATGCTATACCTGGCCGATCTCCTCATATAACAAACGGCGGTTCGGTTGAGTGGCCAAAGACGATTGATTAGAACTTTCTTGACATTTTTCTTGAGATCAAGCTTCCTTTATCAATTCCGTTCGCGAGCGCATTCGGATTGCAGCCGTCGTTATCTTTTTTTGTCTTTTTGTCTTTTTTTTTTTTTTTTTTTTTTTGGCAGTTCCATTGCTTTATAGTGGGTCTTTTTGATTTGACAGAATAACTTGGCGTTGTATGCATGTACAACTTATATCTTTGGTGATTAGTGTGTGGGTGGATGTCTTCGATTCCATTGAAGAACCTTGGTGACCAAGTGTAGAGTGCAGTGCAGTCTTCTCCTAAGAAACAAAGTACCCATGTAATGCATCCAGAATAGGTGAGCAATATGTACAGGATGCAAAGTGCGTGTTGTATATTGTATAACGTCGGTCGATGCCGTATCGTAAAAAATAAGGGGTCCAATCAATGGTGTTCAACTCTCTGTATTTCTGTATCGGCTCTGCTTCCAATTTAGTTATAGTTATAAAGCCTCGATTAGTTAGTTACATAGCATAAATTACAAAACATAAAGGATTAATAAATCCTCCGGTATGCCGATGTCCTCATGTATACAAATTGGCGCCTGAGGCAGACACCCTAAACTTAATTGAGGTGTCGATCTGGAGATTCTCGAATTCCGCCCGGAGTTGCCAATTGATAATCAACCTTCCCTTCAAGATCTGCCCAACCACAGCTTCGCAACGATCAAAATGCCTTCTCCCATGAGATTGGCAAGCGGGCTCTTAACCCGAGCCGCCCGCAATATCGCCATTGAATCCGCACCAACACAACGCATCCTCCCTCTCCTCCGAAACAACACCGCATCACAATGCCGACCCTACACCCAAGCACAGCGCCCACGATGCCACCAAACCACGCGCACCATGATCTCCACACAGAGCAATTTCTCAACCTCCGCCTTCCGATCAGGCCCCAAGACAATGGGCCAGATGCGCCAGCGCAACTCCACCGGCCCATTCTCGTGGAAGGCCGCACTGCTCTTCGTCCTGACCGGTGCCGGTATGATGCTCTACTTCCGTGTTGAGAAGGCCCGTCTTGAGCGCAAGCGCATGACAGAAATGAGCAAGGGTGTCGGCAAGCCGAAGGTTGGCGGTCCGTTCGTCTTGAAAGATCTTGATGGGAATGAGTTTACGGCGGAGGACCTGAAGGGCAAATACAGCTTCGTGAGTCACTCTGGACAATAGGGCAGAAGAGGATTAATGGATTTGATATGCTGAAACGGTATTCGCTGACACAATCTCGCTTTATTTCTTCAGGTTTACTTCGGCTTCACTCACTGCCCCGATATCTGCCCCGATGAGCTGGATAAGATGGCCGAGATCATCGAGAAGGTCAAGGCCGCTACCGGAGATGAGAAGCTCTTCATGCCCGTTTTCATTACTTGCGATCCCGTCCGTGATACGCCCGAGGTGCTACGCGAGTACCTGAAGGAGTTCCACACCGGCATTGTCGGCTTGACTGGCACATACGAGCAGGTCAAGAACGTCTGCAAGCAGTACCGTGTGTACTTCAGTACTCCTAAGGATGTCAAGCCCGGCGAGGACTACCTCGTGGATCACAGTATCTACTTCTACCTGATGGGTGAGTTGATAAGACGCTACAACCTAGATATCTACTTTCAGTATGCTAACAGTTTATCATAGACCCCGATAATGACTTCGTTGAGTGTATTGGTCGCCAGGATACCCCCGAGTCTGCCTCCAAGGTGATCCTGGAGCACATCAATGACTGGAAGAGGGAGGGAAGGCCACTCAAGACGGAGTAAGAGTCTTGCGCTAGGTGTATGTAAGGAAATTGTACAATATAGTCATTCGACAAACTGAATACCCTACTCACGCCAGAACCGTGTTCCAAATGCTCCTGCTTTTTGTTCTCATGCTCGTATACTCGGGGTGTCCGGCCAAACTTCGTCGAAACAAACAAATATAAAGACCCTGTAAAACAATTATGGCCGGGTGACACCTATAAAAGAAACCATCAGCATTATCCACAATGTACTTGCAAGAAAACCACCAACCAAGTTCACCATTCATACACCCCCAACCTAAACCCCCTCAGACCCCAAAATCCTCCCCTCAGCATCCCGATCCGCATTAACCCTCCACTCCATTCCCCCATCAACAAACTCCTCCCTCTTCCAAATCTCCGCCTTCTCCTTGCAAGCCTCAAGCACCTCCTCACCAGCCCTCCACGCAGCCCCCCGATGTCCCGCACTAACAGCAATAGCAATAGAAGCCTCTCCAATCGGCACAGTCCCGAGTCTATGCGCAATGCTCACGCCCTCAAGCTTATGTGTCTTGGCAGCGGCCTCGGCGATCCCCGCTAGCGTCTTCAGCGCCAAGGGCGGGTAGGCCGTGTAGCTGAGCTGGGAGACGGAGCGGCCTTCGAAAGTATCGCGCGTTGTGCCGAGGAAGAGGATGTTGGCACCTGCTGCGGGTGAGGAAGTTTGGGATAAAGAGGTGTTTGCGTCCAGGGTTTCGTAGGTTAGGGTTATGTGGATGTTCTGTGTTGTGTCGTGGTGGGTGCGTGGGTAGGTTTTTGGGTCAAGATGGGCGGGGAGCGGGGTCGGTTCTGAGGAACTCATTTTGATTTTGATTTTAATATGGATTTGAGATGATCAATTATTCGAGCGGATTGGGTTCTTTTGAATGTTGAATGTTGTTCGAGTTCGTGATTGTAGGTCCCCCTCGATGCTTATCTGCTGCTGCGGGGATCGGATAAGAGCGCGCCCCGATCTGTGGAGAGCGGTCATGGAGTTAACGGTTTTGGATACTTTGGGTTCGAATTGGTTCTGTAACTCAAGTTATATTGCTTGTAGTTGTCTTCACGTCTCTTCATTGTAGAAAACAGTCTAGGTACAATGTACGAAGGAAGTGACTTGTGGTCAATCTCAGATCTCATATATATATCACACATCACAGGAGCAACACAACAGCCTCATACGGCCGAAGTGTCCATTTTCCACCAGAGAACCGCTGGGAAGCCTCTTCAACACCTTCATAAGTATCAAGCAAGATCTGCTTGACGGTAGTGATACCGTTGCTGGCCGCATCCCACTCTAGAGTCTTCTCTGTCCAATGACACACAACCAAGGCCTTTTGGTCGCCATACTGGCGAGTGTACGCAAAGACCTCCTGGTTTGGTTTGTCCAGAAGTGTGAAATCGCCATACACGAAGACATCAAGGTATTGCTTGCGCAATTTCAGGAGATTTGCCCAGTAATGGTATGTTGAGTTGGGATCCTTGACTTCGGCTTCAGCATTGACCCGCACATAATCGGTGTTCACAGACATCCAGGGCTTGACACCAGGACCGGTGAAACCGGCATTCTCAGCAGCTGACCACTGGACCGGAGTGCGTCCGTTGTCGCGTGACTTTTTCTGATATTCTTGGAGAGCAATTGCTTGGGCAGCGGCGTCATCCTTTGGGATTCTGTAGAATATCTATAGTTAGCAAACATTCACAAGTCCCATACTAGAAGAGAGGAATTACCTTTTCCAGTGGTTCAGACAATCAATGTCTTTGTATTCTTCAATACCCCATGACTTGGGCACATTCCTGGTCCCTAGCTCTTGTCCTTGGTAAATAAACGGAGTACCAGCCTGCAATGCCAGTGCAGTAGCCAACATCTTAGACGCGACCAGTCGATACTCCTCACTAGCGTTTGTATAACGATCAATAGAACGCGGCTGATCATGGTTCTCCCAGTAGAGGGCATTCCACCCATCATTGGCATACATGAAAGTCTGCCAGCGCTCAAAGAAGTCCTTCAAATCAGTGAGTTTCCAGCTCCCAGGTTCAAACTTATTATATTTGCCATGGTCAATGTCAACATGTTCGAAATTGAAGATCATATTGATCTCATTGCGATCAAATTGTACCGCACGGAGTACCTCTTTCTCATCAGTGACGAACGGCATCTCGCCAACGCTGAAGGCATCGTACTCCTTGAGAATCTTGCCAAGATCCGCGAGGTACTCATGCAAGCGCGGACCGTTGGCATACCACTTGTCGCCCCATTGCCAGGGAGTCCGCGGGTCTTTGATGGGTCCATCAGGGAAGCTCTGTTCCTTGCTAATGAAGTTGATCACGTCCATGCGGAACCCATCGCAGCCCTTGTCGAGCCAGAATCGCATGATATCGTGCACGGCCTTACGGACGGGTGGGTGTTCCCAGTTGAGGTCGGGTTGCTCGACCGCGTAGAGGTGTAAGTAGTATTCTTGGGTCTGCTCGTCCCATTCCCACACGCTTCCTGGAGCACAGCCTAAATTAGGGGATTCCATCAACTCCTGGGAGTATACAAGTACGTACCCTGGAAATGAGAAACCCAGTTGTTCGGAGGCTGGCGATTGCCTTGTTCATCATACGTGGCCGGCTTCCAGACATACCAGTTCCGGTATTCGTTATCCTTGGAGCTGCGTGACTGCTTGAACCATTCATGTTGGTCGCTGGTGTGGTTGACGACCAGATCCATGAGGAGTTTCATACCCCGCTGGTGGCAGCCGGCAATCAACTTCTCGACATCTTCAACTGTGCCATACTCATCGGCGATGCTGTAGTAGTCGGAAATATCATAGCCCATGTCTACCTGTGGGGATTTGTACGATGGACACAGCCAAACGATATCCACGGCGAGGTTCTTGATGTAATCCAACTCGGAGATGATACCGGGGATGTCACCGATACCATCGTCATTTGAATCCTTGAAGGATGCAGGCCAGATTTGGTAGACAGAGCTTTCTTTCCACCAGGCGCGGTGGTTGGATTTACCTAGGGCAGCCATGGCGGGTTGAGATGCGGATGGCAACTGAGAGAGGAGATTAGGAGGAGATCAGGAAATTCCGAGGAAAAATAACAGAGAATTTAGGATTCTGGAGTACTTCCTATATAATATGTTATTTGCTGTGAGAGCTGTGCTGGCAAGGACACTTGGAGCATGGTCAATCGCTCATGTTTATCCCACCGCGGGGCAGATCCAATCAATCATCGGGGACCATCTATTGATATGTCGGGCCGAGATTACTAGGGTGAGCCGTACTTTGGAATGTAGCTTGTATCTGTTGAATCAGAAGCCACACGATGTGGATCGTCTCCACCTGGATGATAATGGAACTAGATAATAATGGGTACTATGTACGATGATGCAACTGAGCTGAGGGGTTCTTGGCGGGCTAATTTGTACGATATACATTTATTCTGGCAGTTGGTTGCCCATGCCTCCTTGTCAATATCCTTTTGGTCTTTTTAAATGTCTTTTTGCGTGTGATACGAATGTGTACACGAAGCGCGAAAAAGCATACTTTATGTGACAGACTTTTCTATGTAACTATAACCTATGATCATCTTTGATCAGAGAAGTGGTATTTGATATAGAGCAGTGTATTTGTTTTAAGAGATGAAGTAAACTGGCGTTTCAAATTGAAATTTGTCTTGTATACTTCCCTAACTAACTAGTTGTTTGTATAGATAGTCATACTTCGATCTCGTGGAACTTCTACATGTATGATGACTAGGTGGTTTTCAATGCATAAATGCATCTAGACACCACCTTGACTCGGTTTCGAATATTTAGCTATTTCCGTCGTTTTAGCTGAGTGACAGAAAGCTGGTGTACGAACAATGTATGATATAGATGACCAATGTTGACAACTCTAAAATGACAAAACCCGCTATTTCAACAATCTGTGCGGACATTGATGACTAACTGTAATATGCACTTTTGTATGGTATGCCTGGTACCCAATGTCACATGATTTTCTATGGTATAATACCCGGTTTCTACCATGTATTCGGACTTGGTATTCGACACTGAGCTTAAAGTCACTAAGTGAGAGTACAAGTGAGAGTACAAGTGAGAGTAATTGTCGGAGTATACTTTCTCCGAAGGACCACGACGAAGTATGCCATCCGCTCTCATTGGATAATATTGCTAAGCAGAATATTAGATCCACTCTAGTTAGTCTTCCATAGGGCGGTGAAGACGAAGGCGGTGAAGAATTGGCATGACAGCGGCGCTGAGGGTGAGGATGGCGAGGGTGGGGATGGCGAGGTAATGTAACTTTCTGTGACCAAATAATCCCTTTTTTCCCCTCCTTTTTTCATTTCAGCTTATTTTCATTTCATCGCTCAATACAACATAGTATAACAGTATAACCGGGTGGATGGCGGCGGTGAAGATGGCGGTGGGGAATAATCCAATGAGACTTCGTTGCGCCAAGTCGCCAGTACCAGGCAGTAAATTATCCCACGTGCCCACGGGTGAATGAAATGCCGGAGACCATAGATCCGTTATCGTTATCGTAGCTTCAGTGGTTCGAACAGTTGAAGGGAGGAGGTGACAGGTCCACACATCTTCTTGTTCATTGATTTTCAAATGCTCATTCATCATGGCGCCTCCGTATCGGAATGAGAAATTTCCTTCGGGATCCGCTCGTCGTCCCTTTCCTTCGCGAAATGATCGCGATGGTCGCATGTATGATGATCGTTCGCGATCTCGCTCGCCTGGTAAGCATCTCCCCGCACGTCAATGGTGCAAAAGGCCATACACGCCTTCGTCGCAGGGTCAATTTCTCCAATTGATGGAATTGTGGCTAACTTGATCGTCATTTGAATCAATGGATAAAGATCGTGCACGCTCGCCTCCTCGAAGACTAGCAGCCGATAGCAGACTCGAGTACTCCAGAGACCGAGAATCTGGACACGGCTACAGAAGCCATGATCGCGATGATTATCACCGTCGAAACTCGCGCTCATCTCCTCATAGGGGTAGACACACATACAAAGACCGCGACCATGAGGGTTATCGAAGCGCGAGTGGCAATCCAAGCCGAAGTCGCAGCCCTCGTCGAGGTCAGCCCCATATGGGGCAGGTGAGCCGAGAAGTGATGATGGATGGACTTCCGGCGGACATGGCAGAAGAAGATGTCAGTTATCAAAATCAGTGCTCGGATTTAGTATTTGAATATCTGCATTATTAAGGACAAATGCTGACAATGCGCTCATTTATCCATGAACAGGTCGCAGCTGAACTCAGAAATGCTTATCACACCGACGGCCTAGATAGCATTAGGGTTATTCGTGACCGACAGACGAGTATGTGAAAGTGCACGACCGGTTGGAGAATTTGCATCGTTTTAACCTGACATTGTGTTCAACAGAGTTGTCGCGGCAACTAGGGTTCCTGCGATTTCCCACGATTGACGCATCACGCGAATTTGTCGAACGCAATCACCCTTACATATTCTTTTATGGTCCCACCAACGACCGAAGTACGCAAGTGCGCATCGCTTATAGCCGTGAGAGAGAAGACCGCCCTCGTGCAAGTGACTGGAACTGCAGAAAGGTAAGTCAACGCGGTGACCCCAGGAAACCTGCTTTCCCAGATCGGAGGGGGTACCCAGATACTTAGGTACCTAGGTATTGTTCTGCGCTTACAAAATCAGTGTCTCGTTCTCAATTTCTCCACACGTACACATTGTTTCAAGTGCAGTGATCCACGACCCGGTACGTACACTGCCACCCTTCACACAATTCTTCTTCTAACATTAAACCATCCAAACAGATATGGATCTTTCCGGCCCCCCTGGAGTTCCGGCTCCTAAGATAACTAACGATGGTGACAATGATGTTGCTCCTGAGACCCAGCCTTCCCAGTTCCTCCTGATCCGTGGCCTGGAGGCATCTGTCACAGAGGAGCTTCTTGCAAAAGGAGTTTCTAAATTGTATCGGCCCTCCGGCAACAATGACAGTGCTCCTGATAATCAAAAGAAGGGATCAAAGGTAGCCTCGACCACTGGGGACAGCAACCTGGGGGCCCGTGAAGGCTCTCTCCATCGCGTGCTACTTGTACGTGACCGCAAAACCAACGCAAGCTGGCGTTACGGATTCGCAGAATTCGCGGGAATTAAGGTACGCTTGTTGTATTCACACCCTTACCTTTCTTCTCTCCCACTAATCTTTGACATTATAGGACGCACAAGATGCAATGATGCGGCTCAACTCTTTCGAAAAATTTACCATCTCCTCCAAGCCGGTGTTGGTTACCTACATTCACGGCGGAGTATTTGTTCCTGTCATGAACGCCCCATCTGGTGCTAGCTACTACACGTTCAGCCCGTCTAACAACCGCTCCCTGAAGTTGATGTACTGGGATGATGCAGCATACGTGACAGAACTGGTGCTGTCGACAGCAGAAGACGATGCCGCACAGGAGCAGAAAGCCACCAAGACAACTTCCAACCCCGGAGACGGCCAAGCCAAGGGCACAAAAGACTCCGATAAGGGAAAAAAGAGAAAAGCCGATGCCACGACCAGTGCGAGTACTAAGAAGCTTGCAATGCCATCCCAGCTCCAATTCTGGAGTGACCGCCACGCTGAGCTACATGGGATCAGCAGAGATGATGCTGGAAAGCTCGCAGAGAGCTCGAACTCAGCAGCTCCGACCACTGACTTTGCTGCCCCGGCGACTGACTTGGCAGCTCCGGAGACGGACTCAGTTGCTCCACCGGCTCCATCGTTTGCAGACTGGGGGAAGCTCCGTTGCCTCTTGTGCATGCAAGATCTTGTGAATGAGGGACATCTCAGATACCACGAGCGCACCAGTGATATCCACCGCGAAAATCTCAAGGATGTCAACTTGAGAATTCTCGGCGTATGCTGGTTGGTTATCTATGGTATCATTCCCATGCCGACTCCCAACTACGAAGGCAGTAAAGACGAATATCGCGACGAAATTGAGGAAAGATATTGGATTCCGCCATCACCTCGATCCTTTGCCGACCTAAAGCGGAATTGGTGCCTGTTGTGCTTCAGCAAGTTTGATACCCCGGAAGAGCTCTACGCACACGACCGTAGCAGTGAATACCATCAGAAGGAACTGAAAGATGATGAAGCGGTGAAGTGGGCCTTGGACAAGCTTAAGGAGGCGGGTATCGCTCAGGATATAGTGCAGGCGGCTCCAGAAGCTCCAGAAGCCCCAGAATACCGAGACCGCGCAAAGGAGCGTCGCCAGGCGTTCGGACGTGATGATGCCAATGCCCGCCAGAGGGCCCCCGAACCAGAAGAAGCAGAGGATCAGACTTCCGTGCAGACTACCTCGATCGGTGCTTCCCTTCTCAGCAAGATGGGCTGGACCGAAGGATCTGGCCTTGGTGCTCAAGGAACCGGTGTGACCGAGCCGATTCCTACTGAAATCTATGCCCAGGGTGTGGGACTGGGTGCGCAAGGAAGTCGATTGGGTGAGGCTACTGAGGAAGCTGGGCGGAATACCAGGGGCCGGTACGAGGAGTTCCTGGAGAAGACCAAGGATACCGCACGCCAGCGCTACGAGGACATGGACCGTTCCTGATCAATTCAGGACGGTTGAATGTACGATACGGGGTGGTTGTTGAGGGGGTGATGAAGTGAGAGTGAAGAGGGGGAGGGTATGCGATGAACACCTTCTAAGCCACAACTGAGTGGCCGATCCCATGTAAGATTACGACCTAATGAACCTGTACAAGTACACTTGCTCGCACCCGTTTCGGGTGTCATTCCATTGTAACCGGTAATCCACGCCCAGTAAATGCATATAATGTACAGTTGGTATCAAATCATGAGTAGAGTGTAGGGAGTGGTGTTTGTACAAGTATTTCGAGTCCATAATCAGTTACTCTCAGTTACTCTCTTGAGTATCCTGATCACTCTTATCCTGACGGAACGCCCTCTTCATCTTCTCCTTCTCCAACTGCTTCTCAAACTTATCACCTAGGATCTTAGCAACCCACTCAGTGACCTCCGTCTCAAGCTCCTCATCACTCTTCACAGGTGTATCACTACCACCCTGCAACCCATTGCGCACGAATCTCCGCATATCCTCAAGCCCATTAATATTCAACGCATACCCGACCGCGCCACCGGCCATCAGTCCAAACGAGATCACATTGAGAGTCGCCAGATTCAGAGCCTCGAATGCATCGCCTGCCGAGTTCGAGTGCGGCTGGTGGTACGTCGAGCTTGTGTAGAATGGTGGGATGCAGGAGATGCGTTTCTTATGGAAGGCCCGGCGTGTGACTAATACCGACAGCGCGAAAAAGGTCATTCCCCCGAAGAGGAGTTTGAGGTTTGTGTTTGTTTGCGGCGAGGGTGGTTGCGCTAATTGTGTTTGTGTTGGTGCTGGGGTTGCGGATTCATCGGGTGTTGGCTTTTCTGAAGGTTTTGGTTGGCTCGACTCCGGGGTTGGAGTTGGGCTTGAACCCCAGCCGAATAGTGAGACCATTGCTATGTGCGGTGTGTGTGAGAATGAGTGTTGTTTTGTTGGTGATGCAGAGCTGGATGGGTTGGAAAAGGAGAATCGTCGAGAGATCGAGAGTTGTTGTAATATCAAATGGAGGATGATTCGGTATGATTCGGTATGATTTTCTTCCGCGAGGGCAATGTAACTCAAAGCACTGTATCTGAGGGGTTGTCTTGCTGTTCGCGTGGAGGAAGCAAATCCGTGCGGAGGCGGAGACTGCAGATCTGCACGTGACCAAATTCTCACTGAGGATTTCTAAGGTTGGCGGCCTTTATTGTTGACATACAACAATTTGGTGGAGATTGGACTTATCTTATGTGAAATGACGCGATTGCCACCAATTAGACAGAATAGCTAGGAATCTCCCGTTCTGGGACCGACCACACGAAGCAACAAATGGCTATATCATAGGCAAGGCCGAATTATAACCGGAGTTTTTAGGGCTAGGCCATCGGCTGACTCGGATATCTCATAGAACAAGTCGATTACAGTGCAGCCGCGACAGTGTAGGACAGAAAGCCAAGTTCATGATAGTAATTCATTAATCGTCATGTCTTTCTACAAGTCACATTTCTCATGTGTAGAAGTTCGAGACACCTTTTTTTCTAAGTATTGTCCGAGTATTGTACTTGGGCGATGAATTCAACGGGAAACTGTAGATATAGACTGTCATTGAACGAATTATCTTCTATGTATCACTAAAACATGACGCCAATCAAATCGGAAGTATATAAAATATGCAAAAACGCCGAGTATGCAACTGTCAGAATAACAATGGTCCAAACCGAAAATCGTTCCAAAACATTTCAAAAAATCATTCTCATATGTTCATAATTCAGCACGCTTCGAAACAACCGTCAATATGTGCTCATAAAAATGCAAATCATAACAGCATGACGGAAGATGCTATCCAAAAAGTCAAGGAAAACTATTTCATATTACCCGTGGTAATGAGCATATCAGTGCGGCCAGGGCGATGGAAGCGATCAATACCAAGATGCTCCTTACCATCACGACCGACATAGATGCCAAAGCCGTACAAAGGCATCTGGCGCTCCGAGGGCGGAGCAACAATAAGACGAGTGACGAGGTCGGTTTTGCTTCTGGGCTCGCGCAGGATTTTATCGGACAGAAGAGGCGACTGATAAAGATAGCTCATCAGATCAGCCAATGTAGTGATGTCGTGGGGGAGATAGCGACGACGGCCAGGCCAGATTGCCACGAAAGATATGGCATATAGGCCACAGAAGCCAATTAAAGCGTAGAATGCGGGCAAAAAGGTAGCAATGCGGATGTCGTCGTGGGAGGGGAACCAGAGGGCGATGAACACGCCACCGGCGAGAATGGGGATGCCGAGGGATAGCAGACTCATGACAGAGATGAATGCAACCTTAAAGTGGCGGTTGATGACGGCCTGGATGGTGACTTGGAATGGGTAAGAGGATGGGTAGGAGAGTAGAATGCTCCGTTCGGCAGATGCGCCACTGGGGGAGGAGAGCTCGGCGTATGGCTGGAGAGCTCGGAAGTATACGTCGACGGGTTGCCAGGCGAGGAAGAGGACGTTGCCGATTAATGCGGGGATGAAGCTGTAAACGAAATTAGAGGAGGAGAATGCGGTCGTCGATGGGAGTGTTGGAAGCCTGGGAGGAAAGCCGCTGACGATGGCGTTGTTGATAAAGCTAACGGCGACAAAAGCGGCGAAGAGGGCGAAGACAATGATAATCCAAATAAATACTGGGATTTTGCGAAGGAACCAAGGTGTCCAGCGATAACGTGCGATCGGCGAGTATAGGTGGTGTTCATTTGGGTCATTGGCGAGTCCACCGTTGTTCTCAAGATCAAAGCAAACCTTGGCAAGTCCGTTTGGTTGGTTCTCTCGGCTTTTGCCAGTCTGGTGGAGAGATGGGGTGCGTACGGGAGCATCTACTTCGCCGATTCCGTAGAAGACCTCGGTCTTACTTGAGAGTTTCCAGTAGCCCAGTCGAAGGATTCGGGGATCAAGTGATTCTTGAACTGAGGGGACTGTCTCAGAGTGCTCAAAATCGTGGAGAATGTTTGACCGTTGAATGATCGAGACCAAATCTGCTAGGCTGACGGGATCCCACATCAAGCCAGACCGGCCACGAAGGAAACGGACGAAGAGCATCATCAGACCTAGGGTCAAGGCACCATATAATCCCACCAATGTCCAGCCAATCGGTTGAACAGAAGCCCATCTCCAGACACCTTCTCCGTCTATGGTATAGTACTTTGCCTGGAAAAGACAGCTGAGAAGAGGGATGGCGAAGAAGTTTGAAAGCCAAATTGTGAACAGAGAGAATCCAAACAAAGCCTCGCCATGTCGGAAATGGGAGAAGTCGGGGAGGATGAAGTTTTTTGAGAGGATAGGCAGACGATTCACTACCAGGCCTTCCTTTCGCTCCGCTGACATCATTGAAAAAGGTGCTATGCGATATACCGCAGCCTGAATGACAAATGACCAGATTATAATGGGCGCGGCAGCAATCTGTGGTAGAAACTGAAGCACAAAATACCTCGAGTCACCTTGACGCAGGTAGTTCCATAATCCATTCTCACCACGGGACCAAACATTGCAAAACACTATAGCCGCTATCATGGCTAGACAGCAAAATATTGTGAGCGCCAAAGCCCAGGGCCGAAGAACAAGCGGCAAATAGTCCAAGGGGGGGTACAACAAGCTCTGCTCCGGCGCATCAACGGCCATGAAGGACTCGGGATCCACTGACATTGGCCTTTGCGGCAAAGCCTGTGGTGAAGGAGATGTATACGATGGTCTCACTGGAGGCGTGTCATGGCGAATGGGGGTGCGTGTGCGGGTGAAATAACCAAGTCCCTCGTCCCATACAAGTCTATCAGATGGATAATCACTTGTCGTCGTGGTGGAAATAGAGTCTGTCCTTTGGACACCCCGAGCTCTGTCCTGGGTGAGCTGATCGATTGCAAACCGGACGTATGGTGAATCGTCCAAGCCTGGAGTTGGAGCTGGTCCCGGGTAGTCACTGGGAGATCTGTGAGAAGCCTCGTTTGATCTTGACCCGTCGGATATGGGGCTGATGTGACCCGGTCTGTCTTCTACGAACCGGACTGTGCTGGATGTTGGTGGGCGTTGAGACTCGCGATCTTCTTGGGCAAGATTTATCTGCGACATGGCGGGTGATGGTGCATGAGAGTCTGGAGTCCTGAATCGCATGATTGTTGCTAGACTCTCAGGACTAGAAGGAGCACGGTCTGAGAATGAATAGTAGTCGTCTGATGCAGCCACGGATTGTTGAGATTCTGTCCGGGCAAGTTGCGGTTTGCTTGCTATATAGGAGTCAGTTGACTTGAGTCTTCTGAAATCTGTGCGATGTCTGTAGTTAAAAAGACAACGGGGCGGGGGTTCTTATATGCACGTACTGTTAACATTGCGCAGGCTGAAGTTTCTCATCGGGTTCGTCATGCTGGCTGGTTATTGATCCCACGCGCAACAATAATCAATCTAGAAGCATTCCTCGACGCCCTTGAGATGCGAAGGGGTTTTTTTTGAGGACCAGCAATCGCTGCCCAGCGGGCTTTTGTCTGCCATAGTGCTGGGTGACGTCTCCCAGCCACCCCAGCCACCACGTCGAGCTTTGCACTCAACAAGCCAATAGGGACGAATTAAAATAAGAAGTTTCAACCCAGACACTATTAATTTGATGAATCACAGTCAAGATGATATCGAATCAAAATTCGAGGAACCATTATGGAGATCGTTGAGGTGTTTCGCGGCCCGATCACCAGCACATCCATCGCCTAAAGCTTGGCCTTGTTTTTTTGGCGATCTCCCCGAGTCTCACCAGGTCTCACACCAGATCGTCTTCTATTTCAATATTTTAATTCTTATCTAAATAGGTTATAATCTCTATGGTAACAGTTTAAACTATAGTCCTGGATGTCTTGCCAGACCCCGGATCTATAATGCAACAATAATCTAGACTCTTGCCTCGCATCCCCGTACAAGTTCCACACTGGGTCCCCAGGCAATAATTGCCAACAATTGCTATCCTAGATGACTGCGGTACGCAATAAAAAAAGCAGGGCGTGTCCAAAAAATTGTCAATGGTCCCAATTCAATGCAGTGTGGTGTTGCAATTGTTTTTCTCCCTTGCTGGTATAAGTGGCTGGAACTAGGGCTTCGCGGGCCGAACACCACATGAAAACATAAGGCTGTATTCAGGGAGCATGAAAGATATGATCGAGTTCAATTTTGGTTTATTAGACATTGTTTGGGATACTCATTCTTCTTATTAAAATGAGTATTTCTTGCTTCTAACTCGATTGCTATGGATAAACAAATTAAGAGACACTGACATGGATAGCATCCACTATACATTGTTTCAAGGGCCTTGAGAGTTCAGAATCGCTGAGACCAACATGGATAATTACTCCGTTTTTTATTTAGCACGAAAGTTGCCACATATGCTTCCCGGTTGTGTCTGAGGCTTGAATAGTTGTTTGGGGTCTTGAGCAGTGCTTGTCTTAACTTTCGTTTGCCTCTCGTTTGACTTTTGTAACGGCTTTGCCTGTTCTCTCTTTGCCAGCCATCTCTCTCAGATATGTTCCTTTGTTTCCACAAAGCTATATAGTTAGCTTCATGGTAGCTGGTTTTCTCTGCCTTCAACAATCTCTCCATGCGGCCAACCAATATAGCCACCTGGAGGCAGCACCAGCGTGAATTAACATTATATATGATTATATTTACTACTCATGAATGTCAATCCATGAGCCTAAATAGAACAGGACCGATTACAGGACGGAGTATGTGTGTGAGAATAATCCTTCTACAACGAGCGCAACTAATGAAGATTTCCAGTGTCTTAGCGATGACTTGGAATCAAGATCGAGGTTTTCCCCACACCCATATAGCACGAGGGCCTATTTGCATATGGGCAGATGTGGGACGGCACCTTGAGTACAGCTCCGATAAAGCTCCGCTCGCGCTGGGTCAAGTACACCGTGCAGTTTTCCCAGACGACGTAGAGCCGGCCAGCCGCTGGCACAGCTCCGATGTTCACACGAATGACAACCAGCCAAAGCATGCTTCACAGAACGTGCAACCAAATCTCAGAACTATCAGTGTGTATTTTTTTGTTCTCTCACTGCTCTTTTGGCTCTGTACACTGCGGTACTAATAATGAGTTGTCATAGTTCCCTTTTCGTTCGCCAAGCGGGCCAGCCAGTCTCCCCGTGAGTCTGTTGATGAAGATCGTTGGGATCCCCATGGAGCATCCCATGCATGCATGTTTGCTGATAGACTGAGCTTTCTTCGGATGGTTTTTACAGAGTATATAAACCTGGCTTGCTAGAATGAATAAATCAATGATTCTTGATCTACTTTCTCCCCTCCATAGTAGTAGCCCGTCCCCCAACAAACATGTCACCTTTATTGATAGCAGGGCTTTCTATGCTCGCTGTAAGCTGAGCACACTCTACGAATTTGAACCCCCTACCGGTCCATACTTCGCGATCGACTAACGCACGAGTCGTAGTCCCAAGCACCAAATTCATTGATCTTCCCCCGTCTGCTGCCACTTCTACGACTAATACCCGTCGCAAACTATCCACTCTGGGTACTAGTGCCTCCACTATGGACTGAGCAGGTAATGCTAGACACCCTCACGAATATAACCCCGTGCTAACTCGTGAGTTGTACCAAGGAGGTCTAAAAGTCCAGACTGCTGCTCCAAACAAACTACGCCGTCAAATTAACCAAACCATCCATGCGCTTTACAGCCCGTTATCCCATCTGACCTAGTATGCCCAGTAGCTCATATGGCCGTATAACGGGCTGTAAAGGACGTGGTTTGATGGATTTGACATCGGAGTTGCACTTTCAGAAGCAGTCTGGGCCTTTGAACTGCCATGATACAACTCACGAGTTACTAGTGAAACGTGAGTCATCTGACATTGCCTATGAAGGCCCCTAAGCCGCAGAGGTTGGTAATGCACGAGTGCTCGCTCCAAGCGCCTGCTTGATCCCCTTGCCCTGCTACTTTGCCTGGGGGAATTAAGCAGTATCACAGGTCTAGAATGAGCGGTTTCAGTCGACGAGTTTAGGTAATGTGCGACATTTCGACGTGTTTGTCTGATGGCCCTTTCTACTTGGAGAAATGATAGAGAATATACATGGGTGTGTATGACTAAACCTTCAGTATATTAACCTATGCAGCTCACAGTTGTGGCTGGGTCTCAACATGTATACAAAGTCCGCTATTCCCTTCCTAAGCTCATTCAAAAAGTGTTGATAGAAGTTCTAGGGAGAGATGCATACTATCATCTTGCTATTTCATTCTATCGTTGCTGCGATTAGGTTAGAGGTATTTGCTCCGCTACACCCTGCAACTCGATTTGAGATGAATCTATCATTTTATCATGGATGACCTTGATACCAAATGCCAACGTCATTCAATGTGAACTTATTCTTATGTCTCGTCCATTATGAGAAAGTACTCCGTTCATCCATATCACGTCAGTAAGAGGCAAATCTAACAGACTTGAGAGCTGATGAATACCTAGGAAAGGGAAGCAGGACTTGCGCATATTGCCAGCACTTCCAATTCCGAATCTAACATAGCGTTCTTGAAGACCAGATGTCGACCGAGCATCCTGGACCCCACTGACCCAAGTGCTCTCTAATGACTGTATCAGAGTTACTCTGTCAAAGGTTTTCAACGGTTGCCCTTCCTCGTCCTCGGATTTCTGGCGTTTCGGCCAACTGAAAATCTTCCATAGGCAGCGCATGCTGTTTCGCAAATAGAATAAATGAACAACTTGGAGCGAGTTTGTCAAGTCAGTCCTCTGGCCCTTAAAATCTTGCTAGATTAAACTTACCCTTGTCACTTCCGGGAATGGGAGTTAGTTATACGCCAAGTCCACAGTGGCTTACCATGATTCACAGGCTGGGTTACGCAGACACTGTACAACCTATGAAGCTTCAATTCCCCCAAAACAGTCAGAATGACTACCGTTATAGTACACATTAAATTTAGTCATCCTTCGGAGATAGGTCAGTCACACATTTGGAATTTGCGTAAAGGGTCCATGGCTATTGCTGATAAGAACATGCAACCGGGATCCAAGAATTGCAACTCTACCACGATGTGTAACAGCATATTCCCGTGGCCTTTGTACGATTTACCAAAGTCTCAAGGAATCAATATGAACGCAGATTTGTTGGGTCAAGAAGAGGGCTGGATGACTACCATTCTGTACACCCAAAATCGGTGTTGAAGACTAACATTGATGGGAATAGCTTTCATTCTACTAAGCATTTCCTCAGGGGTCAATTTATGTGGTGGTGTGTCCGGACTGTAAGTGGTCACACGACTGTGACACAGTAGTGAAACCCCACCTGGAATTTATTGGTCCAAGAGATTACAAGTTTAAGCTTAATGACTTAAGATATCAACTGCGTTCGTAGAGAGCCTGTGCAGTACCTTGCACCAACAGAAGAACATCAACTGGCCATGGCTAAAGGCGATTAGCTGTATCTGGTCTCTAGCAAATGGAAGGAGGTTTGACAATCGGGTTAGAGCTTCGAGGTGGAGACTGCCTGTTTCATATTAAAATGTGGAACTGTGGGCCTCCAACGGCGTTAGAGTCCGGTCCAAGCGTTTTCTGGGGCCAATTTCCCGACTGAAATTAGAAAGTGCTGTGCCGCATTAGTGGATCAAACAGTGACTGGCGAGATTGCGAGTTCTGTTTGAAGGGTGTGCTTGCTCATTGATGGATCGCGACATATGACTGACTTCTGGATGTCATATCGAAACATTTCGAAACGCTGATCTCGTTTCACCACAAACAAAATGACGCCTCTGAAACCATGCATATATCTTGGCTCTTTAAAGACCTTAACCCGGACGGATAAATGAGATTGACATTCACCTGGTAGGAAAGTCAGGATCCAATCGAACACGGCAGAGAAAAAGTCTTGTTTCCATACAAGAAACAAGGATTCAAGGCGTTGGTAAATTAGCCAACAGAACAGCCAATGATCATGGGTTCCAACGAAGCTCGAAATTGTCCTCGTCGCCCACGACTACTCCGACACCCGGGCTTGGCAACCTCTCCCAATGCGGCACACCAACCGGGCAGAGCGAATGAGAAGGCAGGACAGCTCTGCGCCATTAACCCCGACATTCCAGGGAGGGGAACCGTGCAGCAAACCATCTTGTTTAGCCTCATCGGACTTTCAAAGGGGGATTGAAAGAGAAGATCAAGAGAGGGTAGAAAGCTTCATATAATTGGGAAATGACCGAGTAATGTAGATGGTAGAGAGAATCAGACGTAGAAATAGAGTGCGATCATCTGACTGCTGCCTGAGGCCAGATATCCAAACCTCCTCTCTCCTCTCTCCACAGACTCTCCCCCCAATGGCTTATCTGCACTCTTGTCATTCCTTTATTCCTTTATGCTTTTGATTCTTTAAATTTCCTTTGGTTCTTAACTTCTTGGCTTTTCCCCTCATTTGCTTCTTTTTCCCTTCTACTTCTTTGCCTTGAAAGCTTTTGTTTCGATCTCGGGTTCAGATGTCCCCTGCCAATGCGGTGCTAGATCATCAACTCTTGCGTCGCGTGTGCCATTAGGCCATTAAAAATAATCGCTTATTTTGTTTCTACCTGATTTCTTCTTTGGCCTGGAAGTAAACACAAGGTTGACCTCCTCTAGGGTCTCCCCTCACCATGTTGCTCAAGCCTGCGACACCCCTCACCATCTTGCTGCTGATCGCATTTGCGCTTTTGCTACTCTCATGTCTTTCAACTCCTATTGTCACGGGAATTCCTCTAGCAACTTTCAAAGATGTCGACTATGGTGTCTTTGGATATTGCAAGGGTGATACCTGTACAAATATCCATGTGGGATACACGAGCAGTAAGTCTCCCCCTTACGTTTCTGCCTGCTCTCCGCTAAATTCCATGCAGATGATATAAGTAGCACCGGCGATGATTTCAATCTCCCTTCCGGTACTCGAAAGTCACTATCCGCGATCCTCATCATTCACCCAGTCGCCGCCTTCTTAACCCTCATCTGCCTCTGCCTGGCGATCGCGGCCCACTTCCATGCGCCCTCCCACTCGCCGCGGTTCCTGTTGGCGCTCCTCATATTGTTGCTACCAACACTCCTCGTGACTCTGCTCGCATTCCTCGTCGATATCTTGCTCTTTGTGCCACACCTAGGATGGGGTGGTTGGATTGTGCTGGTCGCGACCATCATCCTCACCTCTTGCGGAGTCGTCACATGCGCCATGCGCCGAACCCTTGTCAGCAGGAAGGCAAGGAAGCGCCGGATCGCGGAAAATGCTGAGATGAGCGGAGAGAACTATTACAACCGACAGAATGGCACTGCGGCTGTGGATACGGCCCCTGTTCCGGCTCCCGTCGAACCCAAGGAAGCCTTTGTGTCGAACTCTCTCAACTCTGATTCGGGCCCAACATTCGCATCCTTCCAGACCGATACACGCGATAGTGATGACGATCGCACGCCTCTCAACTCGCGGGCACCAACGAGCGATATCCCTGCCCCCCCGGACCATCGCGGTGCCCCCTATGGCGCTGCGCATGATGAATTTGCCAACATCCCGCCTCAGGGACCGAGCCCGTACGGTGCTGGTCCAGTGTCACGGAATCCCTCCGATCCGCGCATTCGTCCCCAATATTCCGACGGTAGCATGGGCTCTCGAAGAGCAGGAGCGCCGCCTGGCTTCAACGGACGCGGGCGAGGTGGATATCCTCCTCGAGGTGGACGCGGAGGACCTTACATGGGACCTCCTCGCGGTCCTTCCCCCGGCTCCCGGGGTGGCTACATGGGGCCAATGCCAGGCCGTGGAGGTCGCGGTGGAATGATGCCACCTCGAGGACCCCCAGTCGGCTATGGGCCCGGTCCTGGCGGCCCCAACCCCGGTTTGGACGGATATGGCCGATCTGTGTCGCCTCATATAGACGACCTTCGTAACTATGGACCGCCGGGTCAGATGCGACAGCCATCTCCCGGGCCCATTGGCATGGCCGTGTCACCGGAGCCGGTAGGTCAAGCCATTGAGATGACTCCGCAACATCGGACGCAGTACGATATGCCTGAGTCGACCCAGGCACCAATGAGCAGCGTACCACAAACGCTCTCAGCTGAAATCAACGGCCCCGTCCCTGAAAGCCCGACAAGCATGTATAGTCGACCTGGGTAAGTCAAATGTTACAAACAACGTCACTAAATTGACCACTAACCTTTTATCTTTAGCTCCTACATTCCTCCTCGCTCAGGCTGGAGTGCAAATGATCCTCGCACGTCCCCGCGACCGCCGGGGCAATCTCTGCAACCTAACAACAGCGGACCCAACTACTATGAAGACGTGGATCCCCGTTTCGCTCGTCGACCATCGCCCCCCAATGACTTTGCTATCCCCCCCTCTCTGACACCTGGAGCTGGAGCTGCTCGCTGTATGTACTCTCACAGACCACACGCGTTGGCGGAGGCTTACTGATTTTCTCCCAGTCTAATGAAATCTATTGGCTTCCAAGTGTCAATGACGCTTGACACGATTCTTCCCCTCTTCTACGCTTTGCGATACCCTTTCTCTTTCTTCGGCTAAATTTCGATACTTTTTTTTCTCAATTTCATGGGGGCACTGGGTCCTTCTGAGTAATGGAGTTCCGGTTTTTTTTTTTTTTCTTCCCATTCCTCCACAAATGCTCTCTCTCTCTTGGGACGATCGCTCGACGTTTCATCCTATCCTCAAATATCCGCCACAAAATATTGGCGTGAGAACGAGAGGGTTTTTTTCCCCCGCTGCTGAGTTGTACTCCGCCTGAACTTTGATGTATAGCAGCAGGCGGCTACGATGTACAGAAACTGATCTTCGAGATCTCTGGCTTTATCTGAGATCAGAGGCACTGGACGCTGCTACTGGTCTGATCACCCCTTTACTTTCTACTATGTACTTTCTTCCACTGAGTGGACTGAAGATTATTTTACCCAATTCCACATACATTTCTGTTCTCCGGGTACATCTTGCTTTTAACAATATACATAAGAAATGATAAACTTCTCCCTGATCTTTGTATATAGTTCCATGTGAGATGAGGTAGATCGGTCCTTCGATCTTCCCTGCTGATCTTGGCGGGTGTGCCACTAAGGTTGCTAAAACAGCGGCTTGGTCTACCATTCAGTGCGCCCCTAAGATTGGCTTTTCCTCGACTTATTTCTTGTACGTTATGCGTCGAAATTTTTGCGTGTTTCAACCGTTACGCTCATAGTCTCCTTATAAGGACTCGAAGAGCCAGGGTATCCCTGATATTACGTTCAACCAACGGAGAGCAGAACTATAGACCCTGATGGTGATGCTGTTGCTGACAACGCAGTGGGCCACCACAAATCCATCGAAGCAGAGTAAAAGAAAAGGCAAAGTACGACAAAGAGCACGGCGACGTCATACACTAAAACACTCATCAACATCACTACTTGCTCTTCTGAGAGGTACAAAAGATGTTAAACCACGCTGCGAGTAATACATACAGGGAGATCGACCACCTAGAATAGGACAGGACTACTATATTGGTCTGATAAGCGGAAACAATATGCTTAATTTCTCTGGAGAAGGTGACCTGGTGGCGCAGGTCATTTCTTTATGAGATAAGTCCGCTAGTTGGGTAGAATAATGAGGTTGAATGACTGCTTGGGGTGTTGATGGACAGTCTAGGTTGAGAGTTGACGTAGGCTAGTCGGCTCTGAGAAAGGAAGGTGGTCGAAATAAATGATATGAAGGGATGATGAATGATATATCTTGGTATTTCCAAGCCACAGCTCCTGTGTGGGGGTGGCTTCGTACCTCGGTGACGACGACGAACCGACAGGCCTGGAGGCCTTGGATCTAGGTGTGGAAGATGATGGGTATTAGCCAATGACGATAAATGATACTGTGAGAACGAGAAACTCAGCCAGAGTCGACGAAAATGCCAATCAACTGGCCAGGACAACGTCACCATCAATTGAAACTGAGGCAGGGGAGGGTACAGAGAAAGAGAGAGTGCACCTCCACCTTCCAGCCCTCACTTCACACACACACACACACTCTCTCTCTCTCTCTCTCTCTCTCTCTTTCTTTCTCTATAGCCTCCCCTACCTCAGTTTCAATTGATGGTGACGTTGTCCTGGCCAGCTGATTGGCATTTTCGTCGACTCTGGCTGAGCTCTCGTTTCACAGCATCATCTGTCGTCAACGGCTAATACCCATCGTCTTCCACACCTAGCTCCATTGCCGTAAGGCCTGTCGGTTCGTCGTCGTCGTCCTCGGGTGTTATATCCTGGAACTGTTGGAGGAGACCTGTTCGGTGTATGAAGTTGACCACGTAGCGGGTGGCCTGCGGGTTCGATACGATCTTGTCGTAATCCATCTCGTTGATCCCAATATCCCATAATTGCTCCCACAACTTCGTACGCGGAATAAAGTACTGCGGACACTGCATAAGAATATGTCTTGGTGTTTGTGAGCCCTTATCACAATTATACCGGTCAGTCTTAGCTGCCTTGATCTTAAACAAGAAGTGTCGAAGTCCAATCCGCATTGTACGCATCTAGATCAAGATCGCACACTGTGGTTTCGACAGTCCTTCGTACAGCCGGAGTGTCTTCTTGTTCGGCGCCTACACCAAGCGCTTTGTCGGGGCGGAGGTCATCTCCCGCTCCCACTGCTTCTCCCACCGCTCTCTAAATTCGCTGGCGGCGAGTCGGATTATCGGATTATCCGGCCCGGTCGCAACTCCCATCCTCGTACTAAGGAGCGCTGCACTTTTTGCTTCTCTATCGGCAAATTCATTGCCGTCCACACTAACGTGCGCACGGATCCACCTGATAGTGATATTCGTTGATTGGTTTGGTCTCGACCAGATGGCTCGTACGTGATCATATATCAGTGCGAGCACGTATTGGCTAGAAGGTCGTTGTGGGTTTTGGACTGCTTGGATGGCAGCCTGGCTGTCAGAGAAAATGATCACCTCTCGAGCCTGTCCCTCGTTGTCGGTTCTGGTTTTGGCGAGTGCCATCTCAATACCGCTGAGCTCGGCAGCGTACACGGTGGATTGGGAGTACTTTCCTAGATAGCGTCTCTGCTCGGTCACTCCCTCTAGAAGACTGGCCGTTGATGCGCCAATGTGTCCAGCAAACCCGCTCCCGTCCGTGAAGATTATGCTGGTCTTGTTTCTCCTATCTTTGTTACAGATAGCTTCTTCGCAAGTGTCGTTGTGGGGTTTTAGTGCGGCTTCTTGGTTCTCAATATAACATGGTATTCGTTGATTCGTACCTTGGTGTGAATATACCTAACATTTGCCCTTTCCATGTTGATTATTTGACTCGACTTCAAAACCGTTACATGAATATAATAACAGCTTGAAACCAACATTGGCAAAGTAAAAAACTGCACTTTTAGCATTTACTTCCCACTTAGGCTTTCGGACAGCATTGGTGATTCCCCCACTTCTTCATTGCAGCTAACGCGGTTCTAGAGCTCCAGAAATGGTTGGAGCGATCGGCCAGGAAATCCCCTGAACCTGAACTCCTCATTAGGGTGATTTCTCTTCTTATTTATTTCTCTCACTCCTCCCTGAGTACCTCCACCGTCACTGGTAGTTGGATGTACCCTTTCGCTCTGCATACTTGACAGGTGACTGTAGAGCAAACTGCTATATTTGAACTGTAGCAGGCAGTAGAGCCCTATTGTATTAGGCTCACTTTGCGCTTACTTCTCATTGATCTCCCTGCTATATCAGCCCTCTATCATATACAACCTTCACATTAAGTACGGCTCATGCCGATGTTGTGTTACGTTGTGACTAGATTTCAATTCATTACAGTATTAATAAGATTATCTTATGGCTATCGCTGCCTGAATGGCAGTCATTAGGCTGCACTGGCATCTCTCTATTCATTCTGTATACGACAATAGCAATTCACGAAGACGCAGTCTCTGCATCGCTATTTAAGATCCTACCTAGAATTTCTAATTTCAACTTCCTCAGCAACCACCTTGCACGCTTACTGCAAAGCCGGGAGCAACAACCATCAAGGTATGATCCTTTGGCCTATGACCAAGATCTGGGACAAAATATCGACCTAACGACGACCCTGGTTATATTGCAGGATTACCACTCCAACTTACACCCAACAACAGCAGGATCCCAGCTAGTGAGATAAACCATTGTACCCCATGTTTCGAACACTGAGCTGACAGATATAAAGTGGCGGATACTCATTCTATTCCTACGCTCAGCAACGAGCAGCTCGAGGAGCTTTCAGAACTCAGAGCTCGAGCAGAATTTCGGGGCCGTGATCTGAAAGAGATACACCAGGAGCTAGCGCGGGTCATGAACTACAAGGAAGCCACTATGCCCGCCAACCCGGATTGCTACCACACTCATCCACACCTCCTACTGGCCATGAATGAGGAATTGCAGCGTTTCAATCGACTACTGAGTCACATGGTGGGAGAAGAAGAGCAAGATGCCACCTCAGAGAGCAAGGTATGGGAACAGGTCGGCTAGAGGTCTCATGCTAGTCTTATATGGTGGTCGGAAGCGGAGATGAATTTGAATCCAGTTTCTATCTGCAGTTTCTAGCTGGGAAAATACAAAAATGTTAATAGGGCCAAAAATGATGACCTTTCTGTCATAATTAGGCCGCTTATGATGGGCAATGCTTGGTTCCCGGATATTATGCTGTTGATCAGTAGTAATATGCATGAATGCATTCATGGAACCGTTCCTCTTTGTACTCCATCAGTGGAACTCTAAGGCAAGTCTTTTATGTTGGGCTGAAGCGGGGATCGATCTTGCTTCAGATTATGTCTCTCGCTTCTAGCTATGACAATGATACTGTTAGGAGGAATTACGTCAAGGTGCATTGTGGAATATGAAATCCTTGATTGAGTAGACAGTTGTAGACGTTGAGTTGAGAGCTATGAAATCCGACAGATACCTAGTCAATAGCACTACTATTTCCCTCTAGGGGTGGTAATCATATCACATTATAAATAGCCATTTTCATTTCAACTTCTTCAACTTCTTCAGCAATCACATTGCTTGCTTACTGCAATCCAGAAGGCACAATCAGCAAGGTATGACCCCTTGGCCCATGACCAATATTTAGGATGAGACAGTGAGCTGACTACGACTCTGGTTACATTGCAGATTAAACATCATCATTATCCATCGAACTTACAGAGGGCACCAATTCAACAGCTACATTGGTTACATCTTCACGAGTGAGTTTAAACCCTTTCCCACCTCCCGAGCACAGATCTAACAAGTATAAAGTGGCTGAGACTCGCCCCATCCCGACTCCCAACAACGAGCAACTTGAGGAGCTAACAAACCTTACGGATCGTGCACATAGGCGAGCTCGGGCCCGCAAGGGTATAGATGAGAAGGCCAAGGGCATTATGGACGAGAAGGAAGCTATTATGGCTGCCAATCCATATTGGTACTATACTCATCGAGACCAGTTGGAAAACATAGACCGACAATTGACGTCTCTTGACCAAAAATTGAACAATTTGCAGGCCGAAGAGGAAAAGGATGCCGCTAAAGAGCGGGCCATATGGATGCAGGTCGTTTGAGGATGCCTAGAAGGTGGAACGGATGTTGGCAATTTGACCGCCAGTGGTGGATATTGCTTGCTTTCCAGACCTATCAGAGTATCCTTGAAGGTTGAATTTACAGTAATAATATGCATTCCTGGATTTATGGATTTATTGAAATTTCAGGGTTGTCTCTCATCAGTAGATAGAGGCCTCATGGTCTTACATCGATCTCACAAGTAGAATTGTCTCACATCACTTTACTTTCAGATTTTCTTCAATATGGGTTGATTGCTCTGTTTCTGCATTAATAAAGACAGTAGCTGGGTTTCGCTTGGATTCCTTGGGCTTGCAATCAACCACGCGCCATGGAAACTTCCGGTTTTGTTGTTGGTCTTAAGCTCCTTCTGTGCACCTCGTAACCATTTCTTTTGTTTGGTACAATTCATGGAATCACCATGCTACGTAGCTGGGTGAGGTATTCCTGTTAGAGAGGAGGCCCAGGGACTACAATGTAGAGATACTGAGCACACTGGAAATTCTCTGTATTCATGGGGTGTCTCATACCAAATGATGGCTCTCCCAGCCTCATCAAATTGTGGTATCTCCTCTTGTTGAACATTGTTAACCGAATTTTCTCCAAATCTCGCGTTCCAAAGCTCGATTAACGCGCTGTCTGGCAGGTAGGGCGATCATCTCGCGGGAGAACCTCCATTCCTGTGAAGATCCTCATGCTTGACGGTTGGGATAAGTATCCCCATTTAATTGAGATTGGTTGGCCATTTGGCGTATATTCAGAGCAAATAAACTGTGGCAGACTTCTAATGATGGGTGTACACCCATCTCAAATTTTGCACCTGGCGTATAGTTCCCCTTGTCTCCTACATCGTGCATCTGCAAGTATGAGTGGGCCATTCTAGTCGGCTGGAGGTGCATATAAGTTGAATCCTCCAGCTACCTATCGCTGGGCGCTGAGATTAGGCAATTTTGCTCCATAAAACTACTCATTTCCCGGAACATCTCACAGGATAGAGGTCCTAGCGGAAGAGACTTCGATACCACAGAGTCACGGTTGAGTTGAGCGATTGATTGTGTTGCCACCTGCGGTCGAGTATTGGCGGTCTGCCTAAGTGCGCTTGTGGGCATTGGTGCCATGGTCTGTGGTTTCGAGATGGTTCAGGAGAGATGAAGAGGCCGGCATGGACGGGCCGTCAGCGGAGTCTTCGCCAAATGTAAGTTGTTTACTGCTTTAGTGAAGGTCTCCAGTCATTTGGCGGATTTATGTACCAGTTGTTCGCTTCGGAAGCGTTGAGGCTCGCTGGCTTACCATGCAGCGTAGATTTGGGTGGAATCCATGTCTTGGTCGCACACCTGTAGACTCATGCTGTGTACCGCAGTGAATTTATGGATTGGCTTATAACCGCACATGTGGTCCTTCTCCATAATTAGGCATTTCTGTTCGAACTCTGTGGTACCACGAAGTCTGATGCTGTTGAAGCACTCAGACTCATTTCAGGAAAGTACCAAGCAGCCATTGCGACTGGTATCATCTCCAACTAATCCCTGATCGTGTATCTCTCTTCCAGTGCGTTGTATACTAATTCAAAGTACACTGGCGGGAGTGAATATTGGCTTGGAATGAGCAATTGACGATAATCGAAGGTTTCCTGGGATTCTCGCCTAAGGAGTGCATGTGGCCAAGATAGCTGAGCCGAGCTCGGTCGGTTCGTTTAACCGCACGATAGTCTTCTTTGCTGAACAGCAGATAGAGAGTCTCCTACGGAATTATCTGCGTTCGTTGTTCCAATTCCTAAAACATGTACGGTGGGGGACATCGTGATAGGTGAAGGCTATTAGAATTCCCACTGCGTGTATGATTTGAGATGCCCTAGGGAAGATTCATCTCCCAGCATAGGCCCATCTCGTAGCACGGACTTGTACTTGTTCCAGCTCCTTTTGTAGGTGGACCGGCTGTTCCTAGCGTTTTCTTTTGTCAGCTTTCCGTTTAAATGTAGTTAGATCGCAGCACAGGGGTTAGAACTCACTGGTCAAACTATACCGAATTGGACATTTGATAGTTGTTATATAGTGAAGTCGAGATGATCAGTGGAGAGATGAGGTCATGGTTCACGGTTAGAGCGTTGTATTGAGTTCGATGGTTCTTCACTCCTTGTATAGCCCAGAATGTGATATCTGACTCTTGTTGGTCCTATAGACCAAGCATCAGGTCAACGATAGTCGCCCATATCTACTATTCTAGTCAATGATCTGATGGGAGCTGTGCGTGCGAGAAGAGGTTGTAGAAGGTTATAATAGTTTCAATAATTTCATCATAACCGAGAATCATTCAGTTTTTCGCGGCATTTGCACCCTTCTTGGATAATCCCATCTCGTATAGAAAGGTCCTTCCCTCTCCTAATGTGAACCCCAGCGAGATAGGCCTTGCCTCCTGAAGTCCTTATCCCACTCCCCCCAAAATGCCTTGATCTCAGACCACGTCTAGATCGGAAGGCCATGGGGTCTGGAGTATATAGGCAGCCACACGAGCACGACCTTGGCGGATAACGCCTTCCTCGGCCGAAAAGTTCAACTCATATATAAATATTAAAGTTGGGGAAAATTGAAAGCAAAGTGACGTGAAGAAGGTTCAATTGCGAGGTAGATGTGAGTTGATAAATAAGTTCCGGCTAAGACAAAGAAAATCGGCTATACAATTTGAGATAGTTTGATGACCGCCTTGATCAGCGGCTTTGTGTTTAGTAGCAGGCTAGATTTGGTGGCTATTACGAGGAGAACTTTACCAAGTAGCTTAATACGAATTAGCGACGGCTTGCCATTAACGAGATAACTGAGATATGCAAAAGTTGAAGTTCACCTCTCGCTCCTCCGACAGTGTTAGTAAATCACCATCTGACTCCTCGGACTAGAGGGCAAGCATCCGATCATATAAAGCTCTCGGAGTCCACGCCAACAGCAAGATGGGCTTTACCACCAAGCAACTTTAAGCCGATAGTCAGTCCTTGCATTCCCTCAGTCCTCCAATATGCCAGGTAACTGGCTATCTGAACGTTCCTCCAGCTCTATAATGTTGATCAAAGCAATGAATTCCCGCCAATTTCGGTTACAAGAATCGGTCCACCGCTTCTAGGTGCTGGGGGAGAATGGGTGCCAGTTGGTTGCGATATACTCGTAGTATCCGTTGGCCTCTCGTAATCCGCGTTGGATCCGTGAGTGCGCAAGCTCGCCGAATCCTACAGACCCGCAACTGGGTGAGTCTTTCATCGTCATGACCTACAATGTTTTGATTGATCATTGTAACTAAATTCGCAATAAAGGGTAAAATGGGATCTGGACGAAGCCTTTTGAACAAGGCGCGGCAAGACCGCCTTATCCTCTGCCTTGATATTGCTTGGTATGTGCTTGTAGCGAGGGTCCTAAAAAGTGTACTTCGTACAGAGACAGTAGTGGCCTTTGGTCAGAATGATTTCGCTTGCAACCGACGCAAATACGGAGTACCAAGTCCTGCAACAAAAAATCGTACTGTGCTCCGGAATGGGGCCACTTCTACTGCATCGGGCCCGTTTCGGAGTTGACCCATGGTCAGAAAAGGATCTATTAACTTTCTTTGTTAATCGCCCCTTTCCTTAGCCTGTGGGGAGGACTCAGCCACCCCAGGAAAAATTTCTTCCCTCCGGTAGAAGGGATCAGGACGCGCGTGGGTGATGGATGCGCATGAGAGACATGCCAAAGATTCCTTCCAGTGACAGTGCAGTCCGACCGACCTTGCTGAGGAGAAATTGTCCGAACAAATCGCATCTCGATGTGCCAGGGCTGTCTATTGTTGCGATTGCTTCTTCAACCGAGAGCCAGTTCCGCTTGCGCGACCAGTGACCAATGGAATCGGTAGAAAATTTTCAACCTTGTGGAAAAGGGATCTGATTAGATTACATTTCGGACTAGTTCCATGTCAGGACTTGCTTCGTCGTTGCCTGGAAAGGGGTTGCGGCACTGGCCACTGTAGGGTTCTATGCGGTTCTGTGCCAGGCTAGCGGTATCGGCATGTTATATGTAAGAATTGCAACGATGTAACCAATGTACCATACAGTACAGAACTTTGCAAATATACGGTAAGGCATTACCAAAGAGTTCGTCATATATAACTAGCTGTATTTCGCGTTATAGGCCCCTAATATGAAGCCATTGATCTCAATTCAGAACATGCCTTTGTCCTTCCGTGTGTTTTACAGGTCCCAAATTGGGCATGATGGCATCGTACCGGCAGTTTCGGCGTCGGGCGGTTATCGTATTGGCATTAGTCGGTCTCATCACTTGGCATTTACACTGGCAGATGCACAACCCATCAATTGAAGTGACTCAGTACCCGCTGCTCTCAAGATACGTCTCTGGCCAGAAGGGGGATGGTGGAGGTACGAATTAGCGTTTCACATTTCATTACACAGGCCGCGTTCTTGCTAACATCAGCAGCTTGGCACATCCCACCAGGTTGGGTAGAGGGATCTGGCGTAACTGTTGAGAACATCATCGACGCGGCCACGTTGGCTCTCAATGCATCCAGATCTCTGCCAGAGAGGCAAGTTCCGCACTCTGCCATACCTCTGATAATCCACCAAACATGGAAGGATACAAATCCCGATCAATGGCCAGATACATTCCGCCAGAGCGCAGAAACATGGTTGTCAGCCGTTGATAGTGGCAACATGGCCTACTTTCTGTGGGATGACACTGGCATCGCTCAATTCATGCGGCACTTTGAGCCGGAGATAGAGAGTCCGTTCTATGCACTGCCGAGCAATGTGGAGCGATCAGACGTGTTTCGTATCCTGGTTTCCAAATGGATTGGAGGCATCGTGAGTAGCACTCTCCCCTTACCCACTAGACTTATCCAGGTGCTTCAGAAGATTGACTGAAAGCAGTACGGTGATATGGACACCGAACCTACTCGACCTCCGTCAAAATGGGTTGCTCCTGCAGATCTACAGCCCTGGCAAGATCCGGAGACTGGGAAGGCGTACAACTCAACCGAGCCTGTCAAAGCTATCGTTGGTCTTGAGGCGGATTGCCTACCTGACAGTGACCTCTACTGGCGTATGGGCTACTTCTACCCTATCCAACTGACGCAGTGGTCATTTGCCTGGGCGCCCGGGCATCCTATTCTACAATTGTTCATTAACCGTCTATTCGCAACCGTTCAGGCGGTTTCTGAGAAAAATGGAGGGCAGCTCCAATCATACTTATCTCAAAAAGCTCTCTATGATATCGACCCATTGAACCTCACCGGGCCAGTCGCATTCACGGATGCCGCTCGAGGGTGGTTGGAAACCGACTGTGGTTTACGGTGGAATTCTCTATCCGGCTTAACTGATGGAGGACTAAGCAAATTAGTGGGTGATGTTCTCGTCCTGCCGATTACCGGATTCAGGTATGTTCAGCGCCGCCAAACTTGCTCGAGTACCCCTGGCTTGTCCATGTACTAATTAGGTGCAGCCCGGGAAGAGGTCAATATAGAAACATGGGCTCGAAGCCTGTTACAGATCCCTCTGCTCGCTTAATTCACCATGCCCAAGGGTCCTGGAGAAAAACTAGCGTTCTTGTTGAGTACGGCAAATTTTGTCGCACCTTTTTCGGGCGCTGCAGGGATTGGTCAAAAGTACCTCATAACTGGATTTTTTGAGATGATAGCTGGCACCCCAGCTGCATACGATGTAAGATTATTATAATGATTACTCCCAGTAGGTAATACATAATAATGGAAGCAAGGATAGGCTTCTACTTAAGTCCACATTTTCGGATATATTTTTTGGATCACCAAGGGATGATGTGTATTTTGCGAGATTCAGCACACGCAAGAGGGTTGATAGTACTGTGGGAAAAAATACAGCCTATTTTACCACTAAACCATAATGTTGAAAAAATACGGGCTATTTTACCACTAGACCACAACAAAAACTAAGGTTCCTGTTTATGGCCTAGGGGGGCCTCATTCTATTCTGACATATAACAAAAACCTCAGTTCCTGTTTAGGGCCTAAGGGGAGCCATATCCTAGTCTGACAAGTACCTTCAACGGATAATGCATTGTCTTGGCGTCAGACGTGATCAACATCTCTCACTCTGGATTTAGGCAGCGCTTGGACATTACGACACTAAACATGCCCGCCAGCGTCGAGTCTGATGGGTATGAGCTTGACTCCGAGTCATTGCTTGGCCGGAGAAAACGTGACCTGCGTGGCTTTGAATGGCGACATCACACCTTCGCCCTCCGTTGGACAAGGAAAACGCTGACCGCGCTGTTAACCCGCGTTTTCCTCATCTTAGCCCAGGCCTTGGGTGTGCTTTTTGGATTGAGAATCAGACGCCGGGGTTTTTTCTTCGTTCAAACCTTACTCAGCGGACTTCTATTTCTGATCTGCCTGACTGCACTATTTTGGCCATCATATACCCACTTACCGCCATGTTACCAGACGCTCAGAAACCAAGTGCAGAGAAGCGGGTATCAAGGACGCGGTAACATCGAGAACAAGAAGGTCTTCATTGCTGCTGTTCTTTATGATCCACAGGGGGAATTTGCCAGCGGCAAATGGGGACAGGCCCTTCTCCAGCTCATTGAACTTCTCGGGGAGCAAAATGTGTTCCTCAGCATATACGAAAACAATAGTGGGCGAGAAGGCGAAAATTCCCTTCACGCTCTAACGGACCATGTAAGATGCGACAAGTCGATCGTGTCAGAGCCAGGTCTCAGTTTAAGAGGATTACCGAGAGTGACCATCCCTGGAGAAGAAACGCGCATCAGGCGCATTGATTACCTGGCTGAAGTCCGAAACCGTGCTTTGCAACCACTACAAAATGGCAATACGACATACGACAAACTTTTATATCTGAACGATATTATTTTCGACCCCGTCGAAGCCCTACAGCTTCTATTCTGCACAAACGCCGACGCCAATGGTGTAGCGCATTACCGAGCTGCGTGTGCAATGGACTTCAGTAACGCCTTCAAGTTTTACGATACCTACGCAACCCGCGACCTACAAGGCTATGGAATTGGCCTACCTTTCTACCCTTGGTTTACTACCGCGGGGAGGGGGCAGAGTAGACAAGACGTGCTAGAGGGTAGAGATGCCGTCCGCGTCCGCAGCTGTTGGGGTGGTATGGTTGCATTTGATGCCCGCTTTTTCCAGGGGTTGAATCCTGTTCGATTTCGCGCAGACTCTGAAATATTTTGGGATGCCTCCGAGTGCTGTATCATTCATGCAGACATACAGAGCGCAGCACCGGTCTCAGAAGAATCCAAAGTCTCAGGATCATACATCAATCCCTTCGTTCGGGTCGCTTATGACGAGAAAAGCCATTCGTGGCTTTGGATCACTCGACGTTTCGAGAGACTGTACCCATTCATTCACAACGCCTTGAACCATCTGGTTGGACTTCCTCGATACAACCCTCGCCGCACCGAGGTATTTGGCCAAAAGGTCATGGACACTGTTTGGGTACCGGGCGATGGTGAAGGACAGCAGGGTGAGGTTCGGACCACGCAACGCGAAGCTGGAAATGACGGCTTTTGCGGACGTCGTGGACTCGAAGTCCTTGTTGAAGAAAGAATGCCTGGTCAAGATGGGTTTGAGGCTATCAGGGTTCCAGCCGGCTTGGTTTAATTCTTATCTGACACTGTCCGGGGTAATATGTACAATATAAAAGATGTGGCCACGGAATGACTAGCTCCCTCGGTCCCATTAAAGCAAACATTCTTTACCAACCTTGGTCTGGGCATTTCAGGCCAACTTGACGACCGTTAAGTGGGCGTAATGTGAACTAACAACACACAACACGTTGAAATTCAGTCTATTTGATGATTCACTACGCCGTGAACCTTACGCGTTCGATCGATTTCTCAATCCGCCGGACTTTTACGATGGCCCTGCTTCTCAGGCTACTTGGGATGAGTATGAGGACTACTGCAATGAACCTCCAGAACGCTGTGACAATCCTGCACAATGGTGAGGATTGAACCGTACAATGTACCCTTGTCTGTCAAGGATGGCAATGGATGTATTATCGATTCCACTGATGTCTGCCGAATCTGAGAGGGTGTTTTCGTCGACGAAAAGGATGGGGGCTGGGCACCGAAATGCTGTGAAAGAGGATATTGTTGAGACTTGTACTGTATTACGATAGTACTATATAGAGGACGAGATTGAGGAGGGCTGATACCCTCACCATTGATAGACTGTCTATTACCAAATTAAGTTCAGTTCAGTTTTGACTGCTGGAACTGAACTGACTGAACTGACTGAACTATGTAGGGCACTAGCGATATGGCGGAGAAGTTCCTTAGCCATCCCTTGATTTCGGCAGCCGTTGTGAGTGTCGAGAACCGATGAAGGAAAAGGGGTGAGAGTTGAGGGGATGAGGTTCAACCACAACACCTCCATTTCACCTCCGGCCCTCGTCTTAGACAGAAGAGGGCTTCCCCTGACAGAGGGAGACACGAACAACTGCCAGAGTACTGGTCCCCAGCACCACGTAGAGGTGTCTGCCCGTCGCTGGGGTGGAATTTGTGACCTGTCACTGTACCTCGGATTTCAGCCGCTGAACTGTAGTTACATAAGCAGAACTGAAACCGGAAGAAAAACCGATTCCTCCAAGTCCCTGCAAAAAAAAGGGGGAAAAGAAACAGAAAAAGAAAAGAAAGGGAAAAGAAACAGCAACGAAAAAGGAACGGCAAAAAGTTTTTTTTTAGGCAAGCCTTGCGAGGAAAAGCGAGAAATGATAGGCTGCCAGACAGCACGGGAACCCAGGGATCAGGGATCCCTATTATGTGGATATGCCTTAGGAGACGGTTGAAAGAGCTTAGCATGTAGGCTGTGACATTCCTTGGTTTTCAATTGGTCCATGAGGTATATAAGCTTGGAGCGGGAAGATAAAGGTGGATCAGGGTTCCGATCCTTTCGCCAGGCAACCATTTTGTGATTTGCTGTCAGCCGTACCTGTATCGAACAGAAAATACAAGGACCCACTGTAATACCGTATTATTTAGTTACACCCCACCACCCAGCCTTACTGCCTAGTGTAAGCAGGGCAGAACATTGATATGAGACATCTAGAGCACCTGCTAGAAACTATGCCTAATAACATCGAGGTAATGATCGAGTCTCTGGCTTGGTATAAGCCGTGTTAGGGGTGCATTACCCAGTTATTTGGCAGAAATATAAAAACCATAGATTTGCACCAGGAAGAATATTATGCAACTAAGGGCCGGGGGCTAGAAATTTCTGGAACGTTACTCGCAAGCCAAAGAAAAGAGTCGATGTCGTGCCGTGCTCGAGTTCGGGTTTTAGCCCGAGACACATTGAACCTTGTACGTAACTTCGGGAAATCGCGGTAATACACCAAGAATAACTGCTGGAATTAAAAATGATCCAAGGAAAATTGGGAATCAAGGAATACTCGCTTTCGTGGTAAAATACCACCTCTCACCACAACTGGGCTGAGGCTGTCAAACCCCCCCCCCTTTTTTTCGTGATCCTACTGAATATACTCGGTACATACCAGTCCCCTAGTCCTTTCCTCTTAACGGCTGTTGCCCTAATGAGATGATTTTACTTCGTCTCTTTAAGCGACAAGTGCGCCGGGTTCTCACACAAGGCTGGCCCGCAATCCTAGCCGCCTTGGTCAGCGTGGTCGTAATATGGGCGCTTCTTCTGTATTTCATGCTTGCCTACTATCTGGCCGATGACCCACGCCTTGTTCCTGACACCTTTCGACATGCACGCCGGCCGATACTCGTCACGGCGCATCCAGATGATGAAACTCTGTTCTTTAGCCCCAGCATTCTCTACCATCGACACGATCCCCATGTTACACGATCCCTGTTGGTGATCTCCTCTGGTAAGTGGACTAGGTAGCTTCTTTTGATTAGGTAATGCAACATAATCTAATGGTTGAGAAATAACCAGGGAACTACAATGGCATTGGTGAACAACGCCAAACGGAAATTCATAAGAGCTGTGCTGCCTTGGGGATCTCCCAAGATCACTGCGTAGTCTTAGACCATCCTGACCTTCAGGATAATCCGAAGAAATGGTGGGATGAGAAGTTGGTTCAAGATATCATCGCACCATACATAGAAAAATGGAAGGCGGACCTGGTCAGTGTCTCTTGAATAATGAGCCAGCAGAATACTGTGTCCTAACAGCGATAAATAGATCATATCATTCGATCATGGTGGAATATCAGGTCATATCAACCATAGAGCTGTCAGTGCGGGCATAAGGTACGTTTGTAACTCGGCCGGTCCTTTTCTTGTCCCGACATCGTTACGGTATTATTTTGAATCTGATGGACGTCGGTTGACCTCTAACAACACAGGAACTATGTTGTGACCAACGAGCATGCACCCCCGGCATATACGCTGCAAAGTATTGGGCTCCTCCGAAAATACTCATCATTGATCGACCTGATACCCTCCACCATCCCATTCTTGTGGAAGATCATTAAAGCCCTCCTTATACCTGCAACGAACCCTGAAAGTGTGGGTCGGTCGCTCGTACGAGAGACAGGGAAGGAGGGAGTACTTTTGGTGAGCTCGTGGCAGACATATCTTGAATCACGAGCTGCCTTTGGCCAACATGAGAGCCAGTATTCCTGGGACAGAGTACTGTACTTAGTGGTGAGCCGTTACATGTGGTTCAACACACTGGAAAGGACAGGATAGCATCAGGTCCCAGGTACAATCCCGAGCACGCGACTAATGGAATAAATGGCGTGTAAGTCTTCTGTGAAAGGTTCTATGTCATGATTTACATGTACTTGAATAGATATATCAGTTAATTGTTGGAATGTGAAGTTAAAAATGTGTAGAATAAGTATAATACATAGAAAAAGGCCTGCCTACATGTACTTATGCGAAGGCCTGAGGGAAGGGCTTCGTAAGTTGGATTCGGCGTCTCGTCGTGACGACAAACGATGTCGCGCCACACGCCAGCACCACAACAATGAGACCAAGACTCCAGTGACAATTACAGACGCAAGTAAGATAATCTTCGGCTCGATATCCTTGAGCAAGAGAATCAGACGGGCGTCTTTGGTGTGCCACGAGGAGGAGCCAAGATGGCGGAAGAGGGGGGTATCGACAAATCCGTTCAGCATATGCATTTTTGGGTTACCCTGAGTCCCAGAGAGAATACGAAAATCCGATCGATTTTCTTGTAGGGTGTACACAGTTCTTCACGGACATCTGGTCAGTCATAACAATACAGACAGGGGTTCGTAGATCATTGCAGACACTCACGAGGCATAGTGGCAGCCAGTGCTGAACATGATTGTCACATATGACAGAAGCGGCCACACATGATTGAACGTAGGTAAACTGTCGACCAGGGATTTGACGAAGGGGTGATTGGGTGAGGCAAGCATCATGCCAATTGAAAAGCCCGCGGGGTGGGCAGCCGGTGCGACGAAGTTGAACTGACGAAGAGGCTCAAGGGAACGTTTGCAGGCCAGGTCAAAGTCAAGAACAGCGCCTAATACCAGTATTATCGTCAGTCTACCAGTCTGGCTGCACATATCCCAACTTCACGGGTAACATACCTCCATACTTCTCCAACGCCATATAACGTAGAGCGTCAACACGTTGGACCATGAACGGATAGCTTTTCCACATATCATAGAGGTGAGGGTAATTCTCCTCTACAAATTGCGGCGCATTGCTGTCGTTCCAGAAGAAAGCTTCCCATGAATCATGGTGCCTGAGACAATCAGCCCTGGCTGCGAGCCATTCTGTATGCGGAGCACTTGGTCCGAGGTGAATATGGTGCAATCTCGCTGGAACCAACGGCCGCAAGCCCGCATCTTTCGTGGAGTAATTGGCCGGGAATGACGAAAAGGTCACATCAAAATGATCGCGTTGCTGAGAAATGATCGCTTGAGCCGAAGAGTTGGGCCATATGAACGGTAGTCGGAAAAGATGGTATAGTCTCTGAACTGAAGGAGCTGATAGACACGCGAGAATGAGTACAAATACAAGCACAAGGAACACTCGAAGTCGACCTCGCGCCATAACTCCTAGCAAAGTGAGGACAATATCGAAACCCGCTAAAGAAGGTGGACAGTGATTGGCATGATAACTTTAAATGTTTACGGACACTGCTGCTGCCTAAGGAGAATTCAGGGTCCAGGATATCCGTATCGACTAGTAATGAGAGTACCAGCCGAAAAGCCAGCTTCAAGGTTGAGAACGACTTGTGACTTCAGTGATCGTATTGGCATGTTACGAGAGGGCGTTCCAATCAATCCGATAGACTACACGAATCGTGAAGGAGATTAAGCGAGTCATTCATTAGCTGATAATTGATGGTATCATACCACGTGTTTGATTGCCAGAATATATCAACCATTGGAATAAAATCAATGAGCCATAAGCATCGCATTCGAGGAAAAGATTACAACAAGCAAAATTCGTAAGACCAGAGCATCCTTATTGGACATACCGCCGCCCAATAGCTTCCTAATACGTACGGTGTACCTCTAGAAAAGAGGCATTCAAACCTCAGGGCTAGGTTTCATCTTGAAGTGTCTTAATTAAGTCTAAGTATAGGCGCTAGTGAACTCTATGTATGAAGTCATGGTTCACGGAACCAGTTGAACGCCAGAATTCGGGGTCTTTCGGCCGACTAACTTTCTTGCCTCGTCCCATATATAAGAACAGTGGGGAATTATAACCCGGCTGAGTCTTGTTGCGAGCCTAGGCGTTGTCTGACCTTAGGATTCGTTCTTAAAATTACATACATACCATAACTGGTATTGCAAATACTGTATTGTATAGCGCTGTATCATACGTGATAGAACAAATTATTGGATGAGCACGTGCATAACCCTGCACTTCGAGATAAAATACATGGAGGATGCACCTGACGGCCCGCTTTGAGCTGCTCCATCAAGTTATTCCAGAAACCGGCATCCCGCGGACACCGAAGAAAGCTCCATAAAGCTTAGACCTCCCCACTGCATGATGGATTGTTTACGAGGTACCTATGCTCCCTTTCTGCCTTCATGCATGGCCAAGTTCCGAAGCAGATGGGTCGGTGGATCCGACTCCGGCCTAACCAGGATGTGGGATTTTGGATGTACATGACTCTCCTACTGGTATGTGGAGCACTCTAATTCTCTACTTACTGTCTAACATATGCATCTTAGTTGAGTCTACAAAACATGACATCGATAATAGTATGTGCGATGGTCAGAAACCTGAATTATGAAAGCTAAGACGGGTTTTAGTTGCAGCACAAAGTCCAGTCACAACCGGCTACAAATAATGACAGGTTTGATTCTTTATCTGGCATCATCCTGATTGAAATATTCAAATTCACTATTTCTACAATTTGTGTGATGCGTTTAGACACAGACACAGCCCCATCTCTGCGAGAGGGCCTCCGGGCTACACTATTTAGTCCCTCGAGTGACGCTACCGTGTCGGCATTACTTTTCACTGCGGCTACCATTCTACAGAGTGTGGGAGCACATTCTCTTGACCTTATTCCTTACCTTGTCTTGTCCCAGCTCAAGACCATTTTAACGCCTCTTTTTGCGAGGGTGATATTGAACCAGAGATATGCCCCCAAGAACTGGCTCTTCATTGCCATGATGGCACTCGGCATTGTTTTGACTCAGCTTGGATCTGGCTCAGCCAAATTGAGTCCGAAAGAGCTGAAAACCCAGGCGATGGTGCATGGAGCATTTGCAATGCTCCTCGCAGGAGTTTGTGTTGCTCTAGCTAGCCTGTGCATTGAGAGATCTATGAAGAAATCTGGTCTTCTTTTTCTCTGCAACGCTCAGCTAGCGGCCTATAGCTCCGCTTTCGCAATCATTTACTCTTGCTGGGTTACAAAGTTCAGCTTTACGCATTTTTTCAGAGGATTTAGTCCGCTGGTTTGGATCTACTTAGTGCTACAAGTGTCAGGGAGCTTTTTGGTTGCGTGGTGTGTACAAATGACCAGCACAGTGACCAAAAATTACGCTCAGGGTCTAGGATTCGTCTTGGCCGTCCTCATGCCTCGACTAGTGGCCCATGAGCATATCAGTATTCAGGTGAGATGACGGAAGACCCACCGTATTGCGAGAGAAAGTGTCGCTAATTCTACCATCAGCTGCTGGCCGGAGTTGGTCTTGTCCTGGCCTCTGTACTTGGGTCGACATCTTCTAGTCAAAGAAAACCGGATATGGACGAAATACGAGAAAAAGTAAACGACTCAAACGTGTGCAAAGTGTGAAATATCATCTCCAATGTTATTAGCCTCATCATTAGGGAGGCACGGCTCGTATGTCAAGACTTTGGAAAGCAATGCTAGATCCTCGCGTGCCAGAGTGTTAATCTGTTCTATCCCGCCACGAATGTACAGATCACCCTGTCGCTCTTCGACGACAGGTAGCTTTGTTCGAAAAATCTTTATCAAATCCTGATACGCCTGGATTGGACCGGGGGCAATCGAGGTAGCTCCAGTTTCCGGTGATAATGCGGAGATAGAGATGACGGCGTTCATCCAATGAGAAGGAGGGGCCACACCATCGTTTCTATACATGGTCACAAACCTTAAACGACTCATTTGACTCAACCAGCCAGCACTTATTTTGCAGACATTACCTTGACACTCGATTTGCACTGCGGGACAAGGACGAGTAGTAGGCACAGAATGAGAAGGTAGCTAAGGTAAATTTCTACGTATATATTTCTGGGTATTTACCTGAGACTCTCCTAGGACATCGGAATCAGAAACCTCAAATAAGAGTACCAATATTCTTTGTCAGCATGTCCTAAAAATTGGCAACCTTTTAGATGCCCGGCTACTAACTGCCTAACGGAGATCGGTCAGTAAGTCCAACTGGCGTTCCGTCGGAGCTTGGATAGGTTGATCTCCCACTTTATGGTTGTTAGTTTTGTGTTTGACACGTAGTTGGGGCGATAAATTGATAGGAGGGGTGTGTCTCACTTCTGGCGAGCTGTTTCAGAGAATTTCTTTGCTGGGTAGGATGGTCGCAAAGTCTGTAAAGTGTGTGAAGGAACTAGTGTTAGTGAAGTGTCGGCCATAGAGGTGAGAATTTTGACCTTAATTACTCCGCGCCTTGAGGTCAGACGGAAATAAAGTGTGTAGAAACCGGAAAGTAGCTGACTAGTGTTAGTGAAGCCTTCGTCATACGGGTAAGGGATTATACCTTTGTTTTCTTTTATCTTGAGGAGAGAGAGGGGGTGAGAATATGGATCAAAGGAGAAGAGGAAGGAGAAAAGAGGAGAAGATTGACGGAGCGGAGATCTTAACTCCTGTTTCCTACGAAGATAGACACCATCAAGAGGAAGGATCCAGAGGGGCTCTCACCCTAACCAGACACTCACCTATGCAATCATGAGAAACACTGAGTTTTGAAACTAGGTAGACTGATATCCCAGTACTATTTACCACAGCGCCGTTGAAGGATAATCTGAATGAAAGGCAAGAGCAAAGTGAGATTTTATGCCGCCTAGATACATAGGTGGGTGGTGGCCAAACAAAAAGAATTCCAGAGACACAATGTGAGCCTGAGGGGCCCTGGCTTATGTTATCTAGATGTGGCATTTGGTTAGTTCATCGTTCAGTAGTTGCAATCTGTCACTCCCAAGTCTTTGCGTGGGGGTGGTGACGGTTAGGTTTTTGGCCTACTTCACTGTCCAATGCCTGAGAAAATGTCTACTTCAAAACCACAATAACAACATTCTTCTGCGCGGACAGCGCCCATTTCCTCGACCAGGGTGATTGTAGGTGCTCAGGGTTGATTTAAATAAGCGTGAGGCTAAGAAGGCGTATCATCGGTACGAGGTCCAAAGGCGTAATGGAAAGTGTAAGTGTCGTGGTGGGTCGTCGTGTTGTTGATACTCCTAAACGACTTGGCGCCAGATCTCCGCTTCTAACTAGTCATTTCATTCTCGGCTAAGAGGGCGAACATCTCAATAATGAGGGCCCTCATTTCCTACTCCAGGATCCATATGAAATGATGGGATGGACATTCGTAGTTGTCGGTATAGCGCGCGACTACTATGAGACAAATGGCACATATGTTCGATTTGAAGTGGATTTGATTCTGTAATAAATCTGAACCTAGGAAACAATCAGTCTCTGTTAGCTCCTTGTTTCATCGTAGACCCTACCCATCGTCGAAGCGATTATACCTGGAACGCCGTTCGGGTTTGGAATATATATGCATAGAGAATGTGTAGAGGGTAATATATAGTTGATAGTAAGACGAAACTTAACAAAGGCTGGCAAGAGAATTCCGAATGAAAATTGAGTGCAAAGTGATTGTTCACGGTGTTTATCCAAAGATCATTTCGTGAAGCAGTACCAACATCGGATCTTCCAACTGCGTAGAAGGCGAGGTGAAAGCGCGTGGCGGAAGTCCATTGTCTCCATCAGGGCATCAAGCTGGGCCATTACCCGAGTGGCATCATGTAGGGCACGTCGGATAGTCGGGGGTCGGGCTGTCGCTCGCAGTCTTAGCTGCGTTAGCAGCTCCACCTGGCCATTGGTCGGTCACTAACTCCTTGTCAGCGTCATGTTTAAGCCGCGGTAGGGTACGGGGGGGTTGGGGCATATATCTCACTTTTTGAAAGCGCTGGATATTTTATTTCTCGTTTAACAAAGTCGAAGAATATAATGAAATACAATACCTAGACCTAGTGAGGTTATGCTTTTACCGAAAGCCTTGTTTATAGGATTAGGAGTCTCACCTTTGCTGAGGGCTGTCAAGTTGGGAGTTCCAAAAGTTTGAGAAAGAGGAAAAGAAAGAAGCAGAGATCGATAGTGGGGATATAAATATTACTTGCTCCGAGAGAAAGCGTGTTTTCACGAGGAAGGCACGACCCCCCAATTATAAGGAAACAGCCGACAAAGGTGGATACTAATGCCTCAATAATAGTTGTGTAATAGTAATGGGCTTAGATACACATAAATTCTAAACCATGGCTGATGCTGGAATGATATTGGATGCAGGGGGTTGTTCAAGAATGATATCAACGAAAAGAGCGAAGTGAGATCAAAGTGAGATCGAAGTGAAAGTTGGCCATATTAATTTATAGCCAGTTGAACAAAGAATTCTAAAATGTCATTTAATTCATCATGAAGTTGTAAGGGCGGTGTATAGGGCAGCTTACTCCGGCTTGGGTCCTCATTTGAATGATCATCTTAAGAGTAGAGTAATGGAAAAAAGCATGATTTGATAGATGCTCCCGACCCCAACTCATTCACCAAGCACACCGCTCTCCAGATAGCCTGCTCCTCAACGTGATCCAGACTTTGTCGAATGCGCATCTCAATCATTCACCCTACAAGTTCGCTGATTCCTTGTTCTAACTTAGCCAGAACAGCCACTCCATCGTTCGATCAACACATTATATGGTTGCTTTCGATCACAGATTGACCGTATCTCATGATCTCTGTTGCCTCGTGCATGGTAGGTCTCTGAACTCGAGAATTTCCAGTCGCCTGAGGGCGACGTTGAGTCAGGAGCTCTTACTGATAGTTGTTTAGAGACGGAACGGGGTGTTCCGCACCCACCTTTCCTTGGTCAGCGTTGTGTTTAAGACGTCTTTGCGACTAGGGAGTCTGTCTAATTGGTTGTAGGTTGGTGGGATTTATCTACCAGATATTCAGTGATACATGTGTGATGGATAGTATTATAACCCACTAGTGCTAGTTAGTCATTCGTCCTGTCACAAATATGGAATATAGGGCCGAGGAATCTCACCTTCAGTGGTATGTGTTTAAATATTAAGTAAATATGTAAGTGTTGAAGGATAACTCAGAGTAATCAGAGTACCGCAGTTTCCGAGATATTTGTGATGTTTGGAAGGTTGAGACGTGGTGGAAAAGGCGGACCTGCAAAGTAACCAATCTGTTGGCTGTTTTGTTTTCCCGTGAATTTTGGTTATAGACTAGGGAATCATGCCTTGATGGGCTGCTGTGTTCAGGTAATGCAAGAAATGTGAATGTGAATGTTGAGGAAAGCGAAACAAAAGAGTATCGCCACCCAGGGGGGGGTGGGGGGGTGTGGATGTAAAATATTAATTGAGAAATTCTGCCTTTGGGAGCAAGATGCGTCTCTCACGTTTAAAAGGCAAGTGAAAACTGGCCAGGTTTAACAAACAATTCCACATCACACATCAGATTTTCTTATAGAGAGTAAGCAGTGAATCATCCAAAATTGTATCTGAAATAGCGCAAGATAATGATATGAACGAAGGTTGAGTGCGAAGAGAGGTTATTTCAAGGCATGCTCACATATTTCCCCAGATCCAGCAAAGGCCCGGCGTGGACATAATGTTCTGCCGAGAATTCCATGATCCGTCGCGATTCCCAGAGCATCATTGAAAAAGTAGGATATTTCTGACGTGAGGGTATCAGTGCCCCTGACGCCAATAATTCAGCTTGCCTGTCGTAGAATGCTAGCTGTCTGTATTGGAAATACCCCTGAGCTTCTCGAAGTACCGGCTACGAATCTGCTTGCAGACGCCCCAAACCCGTCTCCGGTTGGCAAGTCCAAAAATGTAATCATCATTCTCGGATGTATACTGACTCTTCTTCTGAATGTCAAGAAGTAACTTGGAAGTGTTGTCCTCTAGTTCTTGGGATTGGAAAGAATCGATATCGTGCATCTCCCAGAGCCACGGTATTTCACTCCTCAACGTGCGTTTCCAAAGGTTGGGGGGTAAGGTAGTACTATGCATCGCCAGGGAAGCGGCCTTCAGAGCGAGAATGGAACCAGCTGGGAGAAGCTTGAAAATCTCATGTCGTAACTCAACTGGGAGGTTATTAGATATATCTTCACTCCGGAAATGCCGACACGTTGCAGCCTTCTTATCAATGGATTTCGTGATAATATCAAGGTGGGACTCGAGCTGGGGAATTTCAACCGGATTGACGACCAAACTCTGGTTGTGGTAAGCGTGTGCTATCTCTTCTCGAGTCATCAATCGTGTCACAAGACAACGTACTTCTTGGCCTTGAGCATGATGCCAAACCTGTTCAGCAAGAGGCTCTGGTTCGATCACCCCTCAAACTTTCGAAGACTTCAAACAACACATCTTTCTTGATCTGTTTAGTGTTCTCTTGGCAGAGAAATCTTTGAAGGATACCATGGTAGCAAATTGCATGGAAAGGAAATACACAAGGCAAGCCAAGTTCAGAAAAGTCATGGTAACTATGAGCATTAGGAAGTAGTAACGAAAGGTGGGGGGGACAGCATACGCAGTCATAGGAATGTCACCCCCATGATCCCAGAAGGGCACATTAGGATCTTATAACGAGATTAGTCAGTCCATTGAACATGGCTATACACAAACTTACCATCTACCCTAGAAACGTGGGCTTGCCCCTACGAGACAGAGGTTAGCCCTGATATTTTGTGTACTACATTGGAAAGAGCCTTACATAATCCCAATAACGACCGTCATCCGTGAGAAATGATCTTGAAAAAAAAAAATAATATATATTCTTCATAGTGTCGTGGGTACGCAATAGTGACATACTTATCGTTTCCACGGGCCTCGTTATTAACACCCAGAACACAGACTTTGTCTAGCCATTCCAAGTTGCAGTCCCTGAGGACTTCGTACCGATAATAGTCCTTGTCGGTCCCTTCAGGATCCATACCCATTTCGCTGGAGAATGTACTACCACATATCGCACAATATATTTCTCATCCACCCATGCCGGTAGTTCCAACGTTGAAAGCTTTCGATAGTAAGTAAGGATGAGGATTACGGAGGACGTTGAAACTGAGTTTGTCACGTGGGCGTAATGAGGCAAAGCTCATTAACACGTGGGAAGCTTATGTGTGCCCCACTCGTGAACTATAACTAAGTTTCGTGTATTTCGTCTAACTCCGTGATTGTGAAATCAAGACCTAGTATCAAACAGGGAGGAACTGCGGGCTAGTAAATTGAAGATTAAGGTAGTTTTGAGATCATGCAGCGCGGAAAATCACGTATCGTGACAGCTGAGATGCAAAATGACAGAAAGCTGGTGCACGAACAATGTATGACCGATGTTGACAACTGTAGCAAACCAAAATGACAATAACTACCCGCTATTTCAACAATACGTGCGGACATAGATGACTAACTGTAATATACACTTTTGTATGGTATGCCTGTTGACCAATGTCACATGATTTTCCATGGTATAATACCCGGTTTCTACCATGTATTCGGACTTGGTATTCGACAAAAATTGGCCTCTCCTTTCCCTCTCTGTAGCCCCTCGCATTGCGATGAGGGTATGTGGGCGGTCGTGCCGTCGGTGCGCCGATGCGTCCCAACGGTGTGTGGCCACGACAGTAACCTGACAGCTCCGTATGACCCCATGATGGGCTTTCCATTCGAGGGTAAATAGGGAAATTTGATAGGAGGTGATGACTTTATAATGGATGGTAGATTCATGTGTGTTTAGTTGGTGCTGCTCTAAACCCACAACTCTGTCCATATCTCTATTTTCTCTTTGGTCTAAAGCCTAGGCAGGTCTCCCAATAGACCTCATATTCTGTCGTCGGGAGTTTGTGTCGAATTGAAGTGGGGCCGACACAATACTTGGCCCACGTGGAGATGAATTAGACCCGCATTATTTTCTATGATTATCCAGGCCTCTTGTATTATGTTTTGGTAGGCGTATGCCCGCTGATCTACGCGCAAGCGTAACTGGGTGAGCAGTTCTAGCTGTCGTCGTTGTGCGTCAGGATTTTATAGCTGTCCCATTGTATATAACCCAGCCATGGGACTTCCCATTCCGTAGTTTGCCTCCTGTAGTGCCATTTAGGTAGGTGGGCTGAAAGCCCCAGCTGTGTGAGAACCTCTACTTACTCCTTGTTAAGTGACGGCGTTGGCCGCTGGCTGGCTATTCTTTCCTTGTCAGCTTTACATTTATGATGCGGCTGTGAACGGAATATGTAGAGGAGGGGTGTGTCTTGCTTTTGGTATGGAGACCTAGATGGCTTAGGCCCACTTTCAGGAACAATTTCTACTGGTCGATATTCTTCTAAATTCACTCGATTGTCCACTAGTCGACATTCTGTTCAGCCTGCAACCTGAGCATCATTTTGACAACGTTAACTTCTTTGCCCCACCCTCTAGAACATTATTCTTGGGACTGGCGAAGACCGGCTGAAGGTTCGGCCAGTGGAATCTCAATATACCAGCAAGAGCACTCCTAATGATGCATGCCATCTTCATGATGTTTCAGCAAGTATATCGAGGGTGTCCTGTGGGTCACAAGTGTAGCTGCATTGGCAGCTCGACGTGCTGATCACTTGTGATCAAAATACTCCGACCGTCAGCCACTTTTTTCTTCTTTAGGTTTATGCTTAGTAGTCAAACATGAGCGTCGTCTGGATGGGTATCTCACTTTCTTGTTATTCTTTGTGAAACAGACGGTTGGAAGGTTGGAAGGTGGTTTTGGTCGACCTGCAAACTTGTAGTCTTGGTTAGTTAAGTATTTCATTGTGAATATCGGTGGCTATAGACTCAGAAATCGTACCTTGAAGTGGATGAGAAGTGGGAAAGTTAAAGAAAAGGTCATCGCTTGAGGATCTTAAGTAGCAATTACTTCAGGTGAAAATTTGTACTGGCGAGGCAGGGCCAGGTAAACTTTAGGAAACAGAAATCGCTTTGACGAAAAATCGAAGTATGAGCACATTGTACCTCTCGGCCTCGGTGCAGTGAGAGGATTTGGTCTGCGCCTGTTCTGGAATTGGTCATTATGCCTGGCACCCCACCTGGCACATCTGCGATGGTCCGGTTCGAAAACGGGTAAACGGGCCACGACGGGGCGGAGACCTCACTCCCATAATCATAATAGCCTCATGCTACTATCCTGTTGTTGGCCCCTTTTCCAACGTTGTCAGACTTTTGTCTAAGGTGTGGTTGGGAACCCTGCAATGGGGAAGTGGTGTGGCTCAATTGTTTGGTATCTGGTGCTGAATGGATTCTCTGTCCAAACTTTAGGTGTGCTGGTGGGTTTCAACTGCAGAACAACCCCGTCTTTAGTTATTTTCTTTGTCATAGATCCTAATTATGGAAGAGGGGATCATACCCTTGGGGGCTGTGGAGGTGTGGGAAGGTATAATAGTTGAAGAAATCTTGCAACAGCATTTGTTTTTGCAAAGAGATTAAATATTAATTGCTCCGAAACAGCAAACCATCATGAGGAAGGAGCGATTGTCACAAAGAGCAGGGTTACAAACGCTCTCCTGGTACAGCCTCAATTGAACCAAGTCCACGTTTTGATATATAGATAGAGATACTCCCAAAATGAACCGAGGAAGATTCCTGATGTCTTATTCTACGCTATCAGTGGTATTATCCAATACTTGACATTTGGAAATTCTCCCTACACACAAAGTGTGCCTAACAACCCAAGATCATTTCTATGTTAATTATTCAGCTCACCCGTTCTCGTTGGAGTACGAGTGATTCTATAAGTGTGTACCTAGACACCAATTGGCAAGTAATGCTCTTATCATTAATCTCTAGGCTAAAACCTATATGCCGTTCTATATCCTTCCTCGGGGACCTTAGGTCTATGTATAATTATGCTATTATATTATGATAGCTACATGTCTTACTAACATCGAACCACCAGGGACTTATATACTACCTACTCTATCATTCATGGAGCGCATGCCTCCTACTACTGATGGCTAAGTAACGTCCAAGTAAAGTCTAGACAATGTCCAAGTGACGGGAACTAGCACATTGGCTAAATTCGTAGTATAATTTTATATATAGTGCGTATAGCAGGCGTGGTGCCTGCTTTAACGCGCAAGTAACTAGCAAGTAACGTCTAAGTGACGGGAACCGTACATTAGCTGAACATTATATTTTCATACTGATAATTTTGATGGCAAACATGGTGCCTGGTTTGTTGGGCTGCACGTAGGTGCGGTATCAAACACACTTAAACGTGTTTGTGGTCAACAATCCCATCTTACCTTCTTTCATCTTACAAAAGCCGGAATCCCCCAAGGATACCCTTTGACGACCCACCGACCCACCCACCATGGATGTCAAAAAGCCCGAGGATGGTCAGCCCGGCGGCAAACCGCCTCAAGAAATCAGAATTCCATGTCCTGTGTGCAAATACCGGAAGTTCAGGTCAGAGCAGGCGTTTTGCGATCATCTGCAGACCGAGCACAACATTTTTCCATGCCAGGATTGCGACGCAATCTATGCATGTAGAGATGACTTAGCTAGGCACGAAAGCGAGAAACACGGCAATATCAATTACAATGTCAAATGGAAGCTGAAACACAAAGGCAAATCCAGTCCTGTAATCCGAAGTGTCTCCTTGCCCGCATCGGAAAATATATCGCCGACCCAGCTGCCAATGCGGCTTCATCCACAGCCCGCGCGAGCTCGTCCATCAACTGCTCATGCCCGACAACCATCTACAGAAACCCGGAAATCACCAGCACAAATCCGTCACTCCTCCACGTTGGTCCATCAAGGAGATCAGCAGGGCCGTCCAGCACGCGCTCAAGTCTTCCGATCGCCACGCAGTCCAGTCTTTCACCCACGACATAAGTTCCGCCAAATGCGCCATCCACTCCCTCCACGACCAGTGAACGTCTATCAAGAATCCTCTCAAGCCTTCCAGTCACCAGGACAAGTTCCTCAAGCCCCAGTGGGATTCTATCAAGCATCTGAACAAGACTTCCAACCACCAATGGGGGCATCTCAAGTGCCAGTGGGGTTCTATCAAGCATCTTATCAATTATTCCTACCAGTGGGAGTCCCCGGATCCCTAGGAGGGTTCTATCAGCCACCTGCTCAATTCTATCAGACCCCGACCCCGCCCTCTCATATACCTTCTCCAATGTATCAATCACCCCCTTGGGGCTGTCAGAACCAGGTGAAGAGGTATCGTGCAGCCTCCCAGGGCCGTCGAACACCAACTCCGATCTACCAAGCACATCCTCGTCGCAGGAAGAACAAGGTACAGGTCTATCGGGCCGCGCTTCAGGTCACACAGTTCCCAGAAGAAAATTATCAGTCTCGACAACAGATCTGGAACTCTCAGTTCCTCAGTCAAGAGCGTCAACATCAAGAGCCTCAACAAGCTAAGCAAATCTTCTGGTCTCCTGCGCGGGATTCACACTCCACCGCGCGGGACTCACACCCCCGAGAACAGTACTCTCAGCAAGCAAAGGAAATCTCACATTTTCCCCAACAGGGCTCGCAATCTCTACAAAGCTCTCAGTCCTTAATGCAGAACTCTCAGACTTTTTCACAAAGCTCTCAGCCTCCGGAACTGGACCCTCACCTGGAACTCTCTCAGTCCCCAGTGCAGGTCCTACAAGAAGCAGAGAAGGTTACGGAGTCTCTACAAGAGGGCTATCAATCCCTGGGAAAGTCTCAATTTCTGGTTCGTCACTACGAACAAGCGGAAATCTCTCAATCCACACAACCCTCTCAGTCCGTATTGCAGGTCCTTCAAGAAGCAGAGAAGGTTACGCAGTCTTTACAAGACGGCTATCAATCCTTGGGAAAGTCTCAATTCCTAGTTCGTCACTACGAACAAGCGGAGGCATTCTCTCAGTCCACACAACCCTCTCAGTCTGCAGTGCACACCTCAGACCAAACGGAACAAGTTTCCCACCCCTCACTGCATCTATCCGCCCACGACCCTATCGCCGCGGAAGCAAACAAAGCAGACGGAGCGAAAACCTCAACCCCAGCAACAAACACAACAACACCACACCTCTTCATCTCACCCCCACCAACAGACCCAACCTTCAGTCTAATCTACCGCAAAATGCCACACCGCTGGACAGACCTCGAACCCCTCGAACAAGCCCTCATTTTCAACTACCTCCTGGCAAAAAGCCACTCCCCCCAACGCCTGCACTCGCAAGGCTACAACCCGCCAAGGACCGTCGACACAAAATCCTGTCTGAGCCACGCCGAAGCACATCAACACCACCTTACCCCCCGACCTGCAAATCCGAATTCAACCCTTCGAAAGGCAATCGTCCTAGACTGCGAAATGATCGAAACAACAGTCTGCACTAGCGAACTAGCCTTTATCACCGCAATCGATTTCCTCACCGGTGAAGTCTTGATCAACAGTTACGTGACACCAACGGCACCAGTGACGAACTGGTTGACACCCGTTAGCGGGATCACACAGGAGAAAATGGACGCGGCGGTCGCAGAGGGTAATGTATTTGTCTCGAATGCGGATGCGCGTGGCGCACTGCGGAAATTCCTAAATCATGAGACCGTTCTGATTGGTCATGCTCTTCAACATGATCTACGGACATTGAGTTTGATTCATGGTCGGATCGTGGATACGTCTGTTATTACGTCCGAGGCGGTTTTTCCGAATGTTTCATTCAAGACGACGTTGCCTCGCATTTGGGGACTAGAGACTCTTGCGGAGGAGTTGATTGGGATTGGGATTCGGGGGGGTAAGGAAGGACAAAGTTCGCTTGAGGATGCGTTGGCTACGAGAGAGATCCTGATTTGGTGTTTGCGAAGTCCGCAGTGTCTTCATGCTTGGGCTGAGCGGACTCGAGATTCACTTGCACAAATGCGGCATCAGAGAGGTGCGCGGAGGAATTGGGGGAAGAAAGGTGGTGGTGCTAACGCGGATAAAAGTTAGGGGGAGGAGAAGTCTGCGGAAGAAGGGGATCTTGACTCTCATTGCGCTGGGATAGAAGATGGAAGTGAGCTAGTTAAGGATAGTGAATAAGACCATTCCCATACTGGTTCATCATCCCTTGACGGGCCGTTGGTCGGACTCAGGGGGTGGTTAATCGGTTTGTGATTGGCGAAGATACTGCAATTTATCGAATCAAACTGTTTGATGTATGAAAGTGATTTTTATTATCTCCGTTTTATTGTAGATAGGTAACTTGTAGAAGGATAAACACCTCCCTATAGCACTACGTAGAAAGGTAGACGGGCAGTTAAGTATTACCGCCATTGAAAACAAAACTAAATCACAAAAGAAACAAAAGAAACAAGAAACACGGCAATATGGGGGATTGGGGGAATTAAACGCCAAATTTGCAAAACCTGGCAAGGCAAAGACAACCAGAGCAAACAACAAGCAGAGAAACAAGCCAATAAGAATAAGACTGCTTGGGAAAAGTCAATATAGAAGTAACACACTCGATACGAATATAGGGGCACCTCTCCGAACTTCTCTATGCATGCATCAAACAGCTCAGTGAGCAAAATCCATCGCGAAACACCTTGGTCTCAGATAGGACACATCACAAAGCCAATAACGTGGTTTAAAGAATGCTCCGACTGGCCTGGCTACGGCTCGCCATACTGGCACGGCTGGGATTCGTGCGACTCGGCTCATCTTCCTCAAGGACATCACTTAGACGCGTGGGGTGTCGATGACGCGGTGTCACAGACTCCCACCCAGTCCCAGGACCCCACCCGGCGCCACTGTAGTCCGCGGCGGAGGTGGGCGCAGGCGGAGGGGCGGAAGAGCCGGCAGAGGTATAGGCGCCCTCGGGTATATAGTGACCCTCTGGTAGGGAGTGATCGTACTCTTCGCTTCCCTCTGAGGGAGGGCCAGGTGGGTAGCTTAGGGAGTTGCCATGCGGGTCGTGAGAGTAGTGAGCATATTCGTCGTCGCCCGCTTCACTGCTGCCGGCGTAGGAGCGCGCGTCGGGTTCTGAAGTTGCGGGACCTGGGTATGGCATGCTCGTATTTTCATGTTCGTACAGTGGACGCGGGTAGGGGGCTTTTGAGGCAGGTGGGTCAACCTTTTTGGGTTCGATGAAAGGATCGGATCCTGCGGGAGACATCGGCGTGCCGTCTTCATAGTATTGTTCGCCTGCGCTTCCCGCTGACTTGCCATGATACGCGTCGCTGCCCATGGTTGTGGCTGTTGGTCCGCCGGGGTATGGGCCCTCACGAGTCTGTGGGCGCGTGGTATGACGACTAGGAAGACCAGAAACCATAGGCACAACTTGAACGCCTCCAACGAGCGTAGGCTCTCCATTGCGCAGGGAGTTGGTTCGGTCTCGCTCTTCTTGTTCACGACGGCCAAGCTCCTCCCAGGCACGACGTGCCTCCTCCTTGGAGATTTGGAGTTCACGGCGCATCTCTTTCAGCAGTTCCTCGGCCTTAATTTTGTCCTTTTCGGATTGCTGGGCGGCAGAAAAGGCATCGGCTCGGCCTTGTCGTTCTTCTTTGAGCTGGCGGTCCAGGTCAGCCTGCACTTCCTTTGAGCGCTCTTGCTCAGCACGAGTGTCGAAAAACCAGCGCTGGAACTTGCGCTCGGAGGAGGCTCGTAGACGTTGCAGTTCAACCACCGCATGGAATAGGTTGGCACCCGCGGCAGACAAGTCTGTGATCTGTCGAGCCAATTGTTGGCTTAGCGGATCGCGCTCTAGGTCGTCATTGTTTTGTTCCAGCTTGCGCATCCAATAGCTGGTGAGACCCTCCCAGTGTGAAGACAGCGTTTCCCATCGCTCGAATGCATGCGGAAACCCAACCCGTTTTGGCTGCTGAAGGGCTTGGGGGGCACCAGGTTGTCCTGTGGGTAGGGCCTGGGCGGATTTGGAGAACCCACTCGGTCTGGGCTGACCTCCAGTTTCTGCCGCACTTTGCGAGCGACCATGTTGAGGCTGTTGACCAGTTGATTGTGTCGGTCGTGGCTGGTTAGCCATTTGCCCCGTCGTAGCAGTCTGTGGTGCGGTCTGGTATTCTGATGGTCGGGTACTCGGCGCAACATCTGCTGCTGGTCTGTAACTGGACGGTGGCCCTGAGGCGACAGGCATGGCTTGAGGCTGTCCTTCGGGGGCCCCCCTCGGTGGTCGTGGGGCTCTAATTCTTGATTGGGAGGCATTTTCGGCGGCAACGCCAGCGGCGTACTGTTGAGCTTGGGCTTGGGCCTGGGCCTGTGTCTGGGCCTGACCTTGGGCTAATTGTTCTTGCTCCACTTGTTGTCGTTCCAATTCCTCCTGTTTCCTCTCTCGGGCCTCGAGTTCCGCTTTGCGGCGAGCCTCTCGATCTCGGCGCTGCCTCATTATATCCGTAGGTGTCCTCATACCACTCGGGGGCTGTGATGTGCCTGAGATGGGGTTCTGGGGTACACGGGTTCCACCGTTTTGAACACGGCTACTGCCCACAGGCCCACCGGGGCCAGCGACGCCTACCATGTCTGACATAGAAGCATTCACCTCGTCCCAGTCGGTGGAGAGCTGCAGTGGTCCACGGATAGCTTCCTCGAGAGTGAAAAGGATTGCCGATGCGGTGCGCGACGAGACGCCGGTGGTTCGCTTCGGCCAGTATGAGGTATTCAGAAGCTGGTACGGGTCGTCTGTGGTAGACCCGTTGTCGTCGGTCTCCGCTTCGGAAAGGGCCGGACGTAGGTGTGCGATGCCACTGGTCGGAGTGTGTTGTACAGAGACCGGGGTTGTACGCGCCGGCTGGGGTCGATTGGGGTGTGGGACCGGGGCGCGTGAAGAGACCGCTCGACGGTGGAGTGGTTGGCTGACTTCTCTCTGGCGAGGGATACGACGTAAGGGGCGCTGAGAGTCAGAAGCGCTCGGGGGTCTGAATTGGGAATCAGCTGAAGCAGAAGAAGGTCGTTGAACAGTCGGCTCGCGTTGCCGCGCAAAGGTCGTTAACGTTGATCGGTCGTAAGAGTCGTGGGCTTCGTCAGACGCTTTTCGAGTGTGTCGAGACACCTCTAAGAATGGTCGGTAAAATTGTGGATTGGACGACAATTTGAGTGCTGCGTCACTGATCGAAACAGCGGATTAGCTCTCAAGGATCGCGATCGCAAAATGACCGATCGCTCCAAGTTGGAATGTTGACAGCCCCAACGGCTGTGCAAATCAATGCTCAATGCACAATATAATGCAATTGGGAGAAAAACAGAAGCGATTCGAAATCAGGAGATGTGAAAGGACGAGAAAGGGTCGGAGTGCGAGGTGGCTGGTTAATTAAGATGGCTGGGGTTGCCGCAGCTGGAGCTGCAGCGCACCAAACGTGTCTCGGGGATGAAGCGCCAACCCTCAAAGTACGGCTGCCCGAATTCAAGTTCAAATATAAAGAGATGAAGAAGAATCTTGAACCTGGGAAGCTGAGAAGTTGAAGGGTAATCCACGTTCTCCTAAGGCAGGAATGCCAGCGCGGTTCCTGCCCTAATCAAGGCAAGTCAAGGCTTTCTTTCGTCACTTTGCTTTTTTGTCCAGGGTTATTACGCACTACCTAGGTAGATACCTAGATACTTCATAGGTAGCATGTCAGATCTCAATATTCCAATGTCACGCGTCCAGGTCATAACGTCGCTGCACAACCAATTTGGGGGAAGCAATACCTCAATAATTAGCTGCACCTGTACCGGTCGCACGGACCGGCTCTATTAGTACGTAGGTACTCCGTAAATAGTGCGAAATCGAATAGTCCAAAGCTATGCAACTTTTAGAACATGTGTTGTAGTGTACAGAGTAGTGTACAGAGTAGTGTACAGAGTAGGAAGTCCAAAGATAGGAGAAGGTCTCTAGGGCTACAACGGAACCTGATGAACTCGCAAATTTAATTTCGTCGTGCCATGGTTGACTTTCTAGGCTAACAATAATCTAACTAAATATATCCTGATGCGTTGGCAGGTCATACTTTTGTAGTTGATGTCGGGCATCAATGTATATATATATATATATATATATATATTCTGCCATAAAATGTACGTAGTTCAAATATATCTCTATGACTTCAACAGTTCGAGACTCACCAGGCTATTTATTATGTTCATTTCTTTTTGGTATTCTATTATTTCCAGTTCCAGTCTATTATCATAATATCTTGGTTAGTCTCCATCTGATCCACTGGGTTGTCGCGGTTATTCCAAGATTGTTTGGAACGAACTACTTTCCCCACAGTTCGCAACCGTGGAAAAAGGTCTTCTCATCAACCATTTGTTTCGATTTGTTGAATAACTAAATATCTACACTACGCCTTATTGTTTACTATTGTTTACATCATTCTACTTCTAATATGATAGTTCTATTGAGTCCATCTATGGATTTACATGGCACTGTTCAGCATCTCCCCCGCAATGGCATCGCCTCCAGCCCTGGGTGTTCCGTCCCCAACCAACCATAGAAGGCTAAAAGCGGATTATTCAGGTACCTCAGATTCAAGTCTAACGCTGAACAAATTTTAACTACAAAGATTTAACAAAAGGGTAACTGCAAATGGATGCTTCTGGACCTTTTCAACACTAAAAGGTGCTGGAATGGAGCGACAATAAACAAGTGTGCAGGCCAAAAGACCCTTGGATTTCAGTCACCACAGCGGATGCGCCCATAAAATGCAGGCCGGGTGTCGCGGAAGCCCCCTAAGGGACCTGTAACACTGCACGGGGAGGAGGTTATAGGGGAGGATCAGGCGATTCCGGGTCCCGGATAGCACCGCTGCGGTGGGTGATCCCCGCCCAGTCTCTAAAGTGTGGCGCGAGGCAGCAACCATCAGGACCGGAAAGGATTCAATCTAGCAGGGAAGATACGAAGATGAGTTAACGTTGTCTTTACACATACCCACTGACCTCATTTTGGTGATAAAACTGCATACAACAGTTAAAGTGGCTAGAAATTGCTCCGGGGGACAATTTTTATATGGAGCTGGTAC